GTGAATATGTGGTGACAACACCTCTCAAGATCTTCAACCCTCATGGAACGTCTCTGTCCCGAACCAGCTTGCATTGTTGGGAGGGAGGGGAAGGAAAGATGGAGAGACACCTATACCTTCGCCGCATCTCCTTACATACTCCAAGATCGCATGCTTCTACATCAGTGCGAAGTTGACTACATTGTCAAGCCTGCCTTTGGACACATTGTTGTAGGGTCATATGAAGAATGAATATTACTGAGAGGGGTGTCGCAATCCAACCCCAATTTCTGTAGCTCCGACTTGTTAAACCACTTTTTGCGAACCGCCGAACTCTTGGCGAAACGGGTTTCGGGCGCTTCAGAAAATTATAATCCAGGAGGCTCCAGTTTCAGTAAAATGTTGTTTTCTTGGGTGCTTCTTGGCTCGGCTTGCCTCGGCTCGGAGCCAAAGCCACAGCGACCGAGCCAAGGCAAGCCAGAGCGCACCGAAGACAAAAAAAACTGGGCCCGTAGACAACCGCACTACCTCTTGACGGATTGACTTGTGCAACAAGGCCCTCTTATGACAAAAGCCCAGCGCAGAACCCAGAGTGCGTCCTCCGCCAAGGCAAAGAGCCGCCTCAACTCTTTCACCTCTTCGCTCTCACCCACCTGGGCCGAGCCGGGACACGGAACCCCCCCGGGCCTAAAACCTGCTGCAGCTGCTATGGGTGACACTAGTTCTCGCGCTTCACCGGCTCTGCTATGGCTTACAGGGCTTCTTTCACTTCGACTGCTGCAGGTACTATAGAAAGCATTGACTACGCTTGGAATACCGTGCGTCCGGCAGGCTGACATGTGCGAACGTGTAATCTGACACCGCTTCTGTCTTTCAATGCTGCTCATGCTAACAAGTTTCAGCTTGAGGCTTCTATGCTTTCACCACTGCAAAGCAGTCAATTTGCATAATGACGGAAAACCTCCCAACTCAGTGAATCATCCTACTTTCGAATGCTGGCGGTACAATGCAGTAAGGACAGCACCTGGATGAATGCACTAGCGGTCACTAGCGCCCTACAATGACATGATACCTTTCAGGTACAACGTAAAGGTGCTGCATCACGGATCACGTGTTGCAGATGCTACGTACTGAGGCCGAGGCGTGTGACAAATGACCCTGTTTCTGCGATTGTGTATACTTCGGGGCTCCCTTGGATTTGCCCGGCGCACAGCCGCTATACAACTATGCGTGTCTCACCACCGAGTTCGTTTCCGAATGGCTGCTCAAACACGGTGCACATGCATGTTTGACCTGATGGCCAGTCGACACAGATGTGTCCACGTCCCCAGTTCAGGCCACATACTAGCGGTACTGGCGACTGCTGATTTCCATTTCGCCGGAGGCAAGGCTTCAATCGTCAGAACGAAGTCATCAACAACAATCGGCGTAGACACCTGCATCAGACGTAACCCTGAGAACAGCTGGAACTTGAAGCTTGCCCATACGAAATTGACGAACCGCATCCAACAGTCACAATGCCGCGTCTGCCGCATGATGCGGTTCCAGAAATTGACGCTACCCCAAACCTGGCCTGTGATTAGCTGGCAACATTCCCAATTCTTTGCTGTGGTAATCCCAGGATTTGCACTGTTCGACATCATGTAACTGCAGGAACCATCAGCAACCCGTAAACACACCAAACTACACTGCAGCCTCTTGCGTTACCGAGAGTTCGACAGCAGGAAGCTGCACATATCACTGCGGTTGCAGCTAACTATCAAAGCAGTCTTAATTACGATAAGTTGTCTTTGAAGCAGGGCTCTGCAGCTATGCCTGCCCCTCTACCTTGATTGTATACTGGATTGACTTTGCAACAGTTCCACAAAATATGAGTACAAGTACTTCCGCACATATTTCACGTGCCGAATGTGATGCTGACTTGCGAGAAACTGCAAAGCCCTTCTATGATTCAGAAACAGCAATGTGGAATCCTTCATCCGCACAAAGGGTTCAATATCGGTCCCTCAAGCTAAGCTCTGTGCCCCGGCGATCTCGGCAAACTCCTGGCCCAAGCTGCACGTTACCCATAAGCTGTTGCCTGCGAGTTAAGTGGCCAGGGCCGATGCCAGAAACGTGTGGACTTCTTCTCTTTGGGACCACCCACAGAGAACAGGGGTCGCCGGGCTGTCTTTGAAGCAACCACGTTGGGCGCGAACCGACTAAACTGGTACACTGCGCCCTCCCGCCACAGAGCGCGGAGAAAGGGTGAAGCTACTACTACTACTACTACTACTACTGCTACTACTCCTCTACTACTACTACTACTGCTACTACTGCCACTACTACCACTACTACTACTACTACGACGACGACGACGCCTACTCCTACTGCTACTACTACTACTACTACTGCTGCTGCTACTACTACTACTACTACTACCACTACTACTGCTACTACTGCTACTACTACCACTACCACTACCACTACCACTACGACGACGACGACGACTACTACTACTACTACTACTCCTACTGCCGCGTGCTGGTAAACAGGAAACTTTGCTGCCTTCACCTTCGCCGCAAGACAATGAGAAAACTCTAGATAAATAACCTCGTGAATGTGCATCGCTGCACGACGAGCCTGTCCAGAGTCAAGACAGAATATGTTCAGTGATGGAGATCTGGAAAAAGAAGCAGGAGTACGAAAGGCTACATGCGGCCGAGCATTAGGATGTAAGCGACAAGTTTAAGGAAGCCGTGAACCATGTCACTGCTGCTGCTGCTGCTGCTGCTGCTGCTGCTGCTGCTGCTGCTGCTGCTGCTGCTCCTCATCCTACTTTTTCTACTTATTACTACTACTGCCACTACTAACACCACTACTACTACCATCTACTACCACTACTTCTTCTGTCTTCTTCTACGCACATCTACGACACCACTACTACTACTACTACTCCTGCTGCTGCTACTACTACTACTACTACTACTACTACTACTATCACCACCACCACGACTTGCTACTTGCTACTTGCTGGACGACAACAACTAGTGACTAGACCTGTCATTCGGAGCATTGGTCTTATTCTTGCTGTATTTCCGGAAAGCTACATCTGCAGTCGATCCTCCAGCGTCTGCGCACCCGTCGCTGCAACGATCGTCTCGGCCACCTCGGCACTGAGGCCGACCTCACATTTCGAAAAAAATAAAGAAAGCCATTCACAGTCCTAGGAACCGCGAGCATCTCAGACATTGAAGGTCGTACTAGAAGTAGTTACTACTTGTCGGCGTGACCATACTTGCAGGCTTTATAGAAGCACAGAACATAGTAGTAGTCGTAGTCGTCGGTCGTTCTCGTCGTTGCCGTCGTCGTCGCAATCAATTCAACGGTTCGAGGCAGCAGGAGCTGGAGCAGGAACTGTAGCAGCTGCAGTAGCCACATTTTTCCAGGCGGTAGCTGTAGGCGCAGCGGCAACAGTCGCCGTAGTGAGGCATTTTGGCGCTAGTACTGATGAACTTATTTGTGATAGCTGTGCCCACACAGGCCCTGCTGTTGTTGGTGATGCTGGTGATGCTGGTGGCGGTGGTGGCGGTGGTGGCGGTGGTGGCGGTGGTGGCGGTGGTGGCGGCGGCGGTGGCGGTGGCGGTCGTGCTTGCAGCACGGGCATGCTTGGCTGTGGTGCTGTTCGCAACAGCTGACGGAACAGTAGAGTCAGTAGAGTGAGGGGAAGCTGAGGGGTAGTGACGGCAACGTTCGTCCCTGTTGGTAGTGTGGTGACTGTGATGACGGCAGGGTTTGTAATGAGGCTGATGATGATGGGGGGCGGACGATTCCTGGCACCCGAAAGCCTTCAAAACCTTTCAGGAGCTCAATTCCTACGGCACGTTTTGCCCCTGGGAAGCTCCAAAGACATGAGCTATATGGGCATATAAATCTCTAGCAACCCTCACGAAGTGGAGGCCTTGTCACCCAACTCTTTCTTCACGGCGTCGGACCCAATCTTGTCGAGCTTGTCGATTATGACACAGGTCTCTGCGAACCTCGAACGGTCTACTTTGCTAGCTGCTGTGGAGTGCAGGGGTTTGCCCGGCATCTCAAAGCTCAGGACCTGGGCCTGTGCTTTAGCATGGAAGCTCCGCCACCATGGGTCTAGCAGTGGCGACTTTCTCCTGCAAACCCTCGCGTTCCGTGATCCATAGAAAAGGCCCACAGCTCTGCAAACCCCTGAAACCCTGCATACCCTAAACCCTCTCTGAAACCTCAGCACCAAGCTTGTCAGCAGGCACTCCGGCGCTCGTCAACACTGCGCCGAGCACCTGCGCGCCAAGCTCGTTCTCTGACTCCAGTAGATCTTGTCAACTTCCTCAAGTTTCCGAGGTGCCTAGATGCTAAGTTCGGGTCATGAGATCGAACAAGAAGTTAGCAGCTTCCTTTGTCTGACCGCGGGCTGCGTGCGACGCAGGAAAAGGAAGCGCAGGAAAAGGCCATCTGTCTGAACAGTGTGCCAAGTACACTGCAGGGTGCAACTGGCAGCAGAGTCCATCAATCTCCAGGAATAGAGGACATGAGGTTGAATCAATAATACTGTTACATGATGTTACATGCTGGTGAGCCTTCATCTACAGCGACTACACTTGGAGGACCCTGTGGCGAAAACGTTTAAAACACGGTTCTTTAAACATCCTACCCTATAGCACTTGCAGTGCTGCTTCTGTCACAAGCTCGTAACTGCTGCGCACCATAACCATTTCAAGCATGTAGGGGAGGCTGTCAGGCTTGCGTATCGATGCAGAAGCAGCACCTATGGAAATGAATATGGCCAATCGATGATATATTTAGCCTGTAGCTGCGACCTCTTAAATCTGTCCAGGTCTGCATCATGGATCGGTTGAGCTCTCCCAGGTCGGATCTTACGATCTGGGCGGAGGTTTCCCCGGCTCAAGCGCCAATGGCATTCAGAGCGAAGGGCATTAAAATTCAGCCCCGTGCACAAATTCCCACTAAGACGTTCGCATGCTGAGGTGTCGTGAGGAGTCTGGGCCTCACACGGCCGCAAGCTTCTCGGGGACCTCCACGTATTCGGCGATGATCTCCCGAAGACGGTCGCCAGTCATGGTCTCCGTCTCCGTCAGCTCGTCTGCCACTCGGTCGAGGCAAGCACGATTCGTCATAAGGATGTTCAAGGCATTGAGATAGCAATCATCCGAGATCTGCTTGATGGCTGTGTCGATCTTCTCACTCAGCTCCTCGGAGTAGTCGGGGCCCATGAAACCGCCGTCATCGATGGCCTGGGCTGCCAGGCTCAAAAGCAAAGTGAAAGGCCTACAGACTCCATGGAGCCGTCGTTCGAACGTACATTCTTGACTTGAACCCCCGGAATCCAAGCGGCAAGGGAGCCCACCTCTGACATGCCGAACTGTGTGACCATAGCCCGGGCCATTCGCTCTACTTGCTGGAGGTCGCCGCCAGCACCAGTGGTCACCTGCTTAGACCGGCCACATGCAAAATTTGGAATCCCCATCGACACGACGCGCCACTTCTAACCCTACGTTTTAGCAGTCGCCAATACCCGAACGCTGCGTGATTGTGACTGATTCCATACGCAGATACTCACAACTTGAGCAGTGCACCACGACATGCATCAGAATCACAGCCTTAGTGCCTCTTGAAACACCTCCGCCCGACAAGCACTGCGGAAAGACAACACGCCCCTGGCCTGGCTGGTTCCAAACACAAGCTGCTCCGCTGCCCGTCCACCCAGGGCGCCGGCGATGCGGGCTTTGAGCATGGCGGCCGAGATCAGGCTCTGGTCCTGCAAGGGCTTAGATGCTCAGCTTTTCGTTCCAGTTCATACCCTCTTTGGTTTCCAGATCTGGGAGGATGGATTGGAAACAAGAAGTAGCTGTGCTAATTTTGGGTCTTGTGAGTCTTGTTTTAAAATGAGATTCGTTTCTACTGTTCTCGCGACTCGCCTGTGCTGTTCTCTGCTAATCTGACAAACCAATCGAACACATGAGCAAGCCAAGCACAACCGGTCCTCTCCGGGAGTGAACCAAGTCAGGCCCTTCGCCTGCCCACGAGGGATCAGAGTCACCTTGTTGACAGGGTCGTGGTACCTTGATCTGCGGCCCTACTAGAATCACTAGAATCTTACCAGCGCCTGCAAGAGCAGAGGACGGCGTTTGCAAAAAAGCGCGGCCGGCACAAGGCAAAGAACAACATGCAAAACAACATGCTCCAAAAAGACCCAGGCACGGGAGCAGAGTGCCGACAATGGCGTGTCCAGCCTCGTGGTATGCGATGAGCTTTTTTGCCGCGTTGTCCTGCAGTGCCCGACCCTCCAGACCGGCGATGACTCGGTCCGTGGCATCGTTGATCTCATCCATGCTGATCGCCTTCTTGTTGCGACGTGCCGCGAGGATGGCCGACTCGTTCATGAGGTTCTCCAAGTCGGCACCAGAAAAGCCCGCAGTGCGCTTGGCAATGTCCATGAGCGTGATCTCACCGTCCAGCTTCTTGTTCTTGACGTGAACTTCCAAGATCTGTGCCCTGCCTTTGACATCTGGGAGGCCGACTTGCACACGGCGGTCAAAGCGGCCGGGGCGCAGCAAAGCATTGTCCAGGATGTCAGACCTGTTCGTGGCAGCAACGACGATGACGCCACTGTTGCCCTCGAAGCCGTCCATTTCCGTGAGGATCTGGTTCAGAGTCTGCTCACGCTCGTCGTTGCCACCGCCCATGCCGGCCCCACGCTGACGACCAATAGCATCAATCTCGTCAATGAAGACGATGCAGGGCGCTTTCTCCTTCGCCTGCTTGAAGATGTCCCGCACGCGAGAAGCACCCACACCGACGAAGAGCTCGATGAACTCAGAGGCTGATGACTGGATAAATGGCACACCAGACTCGCCGGCAAGAGCCTTGGCCATCAGTGTCTTACCAGTGCCAGGAGGCCCCGTCAGCAGGACGCCACGGGGAATCTTGGCACCAACCTTCACGAACCTCTCTGGTGCTTTGAGGAAATCCACGATCTCCATGAGCTCTTCCTTCGCCTCGTCAATCCCGGCCACGTCTTCAAACTTCACGCCCGTCTCTGGCGTGATCATAATCTTCGCCTGGCCCTGGTTGCCAAAGCCTGGGATGCCGCCGCCACCCGGTGCGCGGGAGCGCAGGAAGAGCAGGCCGGCGATCAGCAGAAGCGGGAAGGCAACATCACCGAGCACGTTGAACAAAGGGTTGGGCTTCTCCGGCTGGTGGACCTCGATGGAAATACCCTTTGTCGTGAGCTTCTCGATAAGGCCCGTGGTGGCTCCTGGAAGATCGCACACAAGCTGCTGCTCGCGGCCACCCACAGAAACGGTGGCAACCGCCGTGCGACCAAGGTCGTAGAAGTCCACACGCTTCACAGAGCCCTCGTCCACGAACTCGAGGAGACGTGAGTAGGTCACACGCCCGGTGACCCGGGCGAAGCCACCCCCACCAGGCTGCTGCATTTGCATCTGCGGTGCTCCCACAGACTGCAGTGCGGGGACATCGTCTGCCTTGGCTGCGAGCGGTGCTGCGGTGGCGGCCAGGGCGGCGAGGACCTGCACCGCGGCGTGCTTCACCACGTGCTCAGGCAGCGCAGCACCCGTGGAAACCTCGGAGGCCATGTCCTTCACGCGGCGCATCACTTCCTCGCTCGTCGATTCTCGGCTCTCCGCCTCTGGCGTTGCCAGCCCGAGCCGAGCAACAGCGCTGCGGGCGGCCTTGCCATCCCGCGGCGCAGCACGAGTGGAGCCACAGAAGCCACGACGAGGGCAGTCGGCGCATGCGAACCTGGGACTCTGAAGACTATATTGGACATGGACCCCAGACGCCTTTGTAACTACTGCTTGCTTGTACTTCTCGTGGCTATCTGCTCTAGTTACTACGTGCTGGACAGGCAGGGACAGGCGGGAAGAGACTGCCCACCGAGAAGCATCATCGGCTTGTCCGGGTGGACGCACTGTGTTTTACGAGGCATGGAAACCTCAGCCGTTGTCTCGATTACCTCGCCCGTGTAGGCTGCCACAGCCATTTGAGAATTGCCCATGATGAGCTTGCCCTCTGCAGCTGCCTTGTTGATCAGTTTCATGAGCTGCTCCCCAGACACCTTCTCCTCCTCCATCAAGAGCTTCGCAAGCTCATCCAGGAGGTACATGTTATCCCGCAGGAGCGTCATTCCACGCTGGTACTGCTCGTCAACGATGCGCTTGACCTCGGCATCCACCTTCTGCTTCAGAGCCTGCGACATGGGAGGGGCGCCCTGGCCCATGAAGTCACGGCCCATGAAAGGTCCTCCTCCCTGCTGTCCTCCGAGAAGTCGCTGGCCAATCTCCGGGGACATGCCCAGAGACATGACCATCTGCTTTGCGACTTGTGTGCACTGCTGGAAATCATTGGAGGCACCAGTGGTCACATTGTCCTTGCCGTTGATGATCTCCTCAGCCAAACGGCCACCAAGCGCGACGCACATGCGGTTCTCCAAGAACTCCTTCGAGTACAGTCCAGAGTTGAGCCTGTCTTCGGAAGGCATGAAGATAGTGACACCACCAGCTGGTCCACGAGGAACGATGCTGATCTTTGCCACGATGTCATAATCGTTCATCAGTGCCCCCAGGATGGCATGACCGGCCTCATGGTATGCGACCAACTTCTTTTTCTGCTCAGACATCACCGCATCCTTCTTCTCCAGGCCGATAGCTATGCGCTCGAGGGCATTGAAGATGTCGTCGGAGTCGATCTCCGCCTTGTTCTGCCGTGCCGCCGTAATGGCGCCCTCGTTCAACAAGTTGGCAAGGTCTGCGCCGGACATGCCGGGCGTCTGTCTGGCAATGGCAGTAAGGTCGACGCCGGGCGCCAGATTCTTACCCTTTGCATGGACCTTCAGGATTTCGGAGCGGCCCTGCACATCAGGTGGGTCCACCTGGATCTGGCGATCGAAGCGCCCCGGGCGCACCAAGGCCTGATCAAGGATGTCTGCCCTGTTCGTGGCCGCAATCACCACGACACCCTTGTTCGCCTCGAAACCATCCATCTCGGTCAGAAGCTGATTCACCGTCTGCTCCCGTTCATCGTTGCCCTGTCCAAAGCCTGCGCTGCGCTGACGGCCGACCGCATCGATCTCGTCGATGAAGATGATGCAGGGGGCAGATTTCTTGGCCTGCTCGAAAAGGTCGCGCACCCGCGAGGCACCGATGCCTGCGAAGATCTCCACGAACTCCGAGGCAGAGATGCTGAAGAAGGGAACACCAGCTTCTCCGGCGACGGCCTTGGCCAGTAGTGTCTTGCCTGTACCCGGCGGGCCAACGAGGAGGGCGCCCTTGGGGATCTTGGCACCGAGATCCGAGTAGCGCGAGGTGTTCTTCAGGAAGTCGACGACCTGGGCTTGTGTGGACTACTTGCAGACTCCTTCCTGCTGCAAGAACTTCCTTCCTATGACACTGGCCTCGCTATGCTGAAGCTACTTACGCAATTTCTCCTGAAGCAGCAAATGTCATGGTGCCCCCAGCTCAAGCAGCCTCGCAACCTTCCCATTCCGCTTACCGGCAGTCTACTTGAGCTCCTGTTTTTCTCTCTTCTATTTCACAGCTGGGCCGACGACCTCCACCAACTCCAGCTTGGCACCGTCGCATCCAGCCACATCTGCGAACTTGACCTTCGTGTCCCCATCCTTGATGATCCGAGCCTTCGACTTCCCCAGCTCGAAAGGGTTGCCGCCTGGGCCGCCGGGTCCGGCAGGCCCTCCCATGCCCGCACCTCCAAACAGAAAGAGGAGACCGGCGATGAGCCACGCAATGGGGCCGGCAAAGCGTGCCAGGAAGTCTAAGGGCCCACCTTGGTTGGCACCAGGGGTCTGCATGACGACATCCACCTTCTTTTGTGCCAAAGTATTGAACAGCTGGTCCTCGACCTGAGCATTGGGGATTAAGTTCACCTCATGGCGAGCGCCATCCTTGGTCGTGTACTGTGCCGAAAGCTGATCATCCTGGACGCGCACCATCTCGACATCACCGCGGTTGACGGAATCCATGAAGTCAGAGTAGTTCACGACATCCGCTGCCATGGCAGGCTGCAGGCTGACACTGAAAGTCAACAGCAAGGATGCGGCAGCACCGGCTGCCCAGCGCAGCTGTTTCTCAGTGCCCTCGCGCAGCACATCGCTTGCACCGGTGGCTACTTCAGCAAAGGCTCGGGCAGTCGGGCCAGAGAGGGCGGCACCACGTCGCAGTTCTGCTGCGGCAAAGGCCTGGAGCTGCTGCACCAGAAGCGCCAGCTGTTGTGGCTCTGGTTGCCTCAGAAGCTGCTCGGCCAAGGCCACCAGCTCGGAAAGTCCTTTGGGGCTCTCCTGCCCCCTCTGCGCCTGCGTAGCTACCACTGCTCGGCTGCGCTTGGCTGTTCGGCGCGGGCCCATGGCTGCGACTGCACCCATTGCCGCCGCACTCGCACCGGCAGCTGCCATGTTCAGGTGGCTGGCCTCGTCACTAGTCGAAGTGCTGCCGACTTGGCTGCGTGTCTGGGCCTGCATCTGGCGTGGGGCATCTCCGGCGCCGGGGGCGATGAAGCTGGGAGCTGCGAGGAGGGCTGCCGCTGCCGCTGCGCCGGCAAGCGCGGTCCTGCCGCTCGATCGCGCCATCTTGCTCACGACCGCCATCAGACGGCGAGGAGTCGCGAAGGAATTGGGAACTTGTCTCACTGCTCGTGCTGAGCGAAAATTGTCTGCCGCCCGGGAGATATGAACATCATTGGAGTGCTGCATGGTCCATAAAGCAAAAACTGAAAAACTCACCGCTCACAGACATGGTTGGTAGTTCATCCGAGGTCCTACAGAGCACAAGGGAGGCAAGGGAACCCAAGTACAGACGGAAACGGTGAAATCCAAAAGGCAACTTTCCAAAGGCGGAGCTTAAGTGAGCATCCATCTTCACTTATGCCACTTGCTTCGGCGAGCAGCCACTTCAGGACGCAAAGCACATGCAGCTCCTTTTTCTGGTCGCGGGCTGCGGGCAGCGCAGGAAAAGCTGTTGTGTTTCGGAGAATGGGCCAAGTGCACATTGCATCCTGCCGTGGTGGCAGGGCCCACCAGTCACCCGGTATAGAGGTTATACATACACGGAAAAGCGCTGCATACTGTTGAACACTTGGTGGACCCTCTGGCGAAAATGTTCAAACACGGTTCTTTAAACATCCTACCGCGTGGGCTGTACTGCTTCTGTCACAAGCTCATGCATGCTGCAGTGCTGCAAACATGGAAGTGAGGCTACAGTTACGCCCAATGTCGAAAGGAAACTCCTTGTGCACCGAAGCAGGAACAGGACGTATTGAGATACGTACGGGAAATCATGAAATCGATATACTCAGCTTGTATAGCTGCGACCCTTGAAATCTGTCCAGGTCTTTTGAGCTCTCCCAGGTCGAGGCTATGCACAAGATAAAAAAAAAGATCTGGGCGGAGGTTTCCCCGGCTCAGGCGCGAATGGCGTTCAGGGCGGCGGGCAGTAGCCCCGTGCACAAATTCCCACTAAGACGTTCGCATGCTGAGGTGTCGTGAGGAGTCTGGGCCTCACACGGCCGCAAGCTTCTCGGGGACCTCCACGTATTCGGCGATGATCTCCCGAAGACGGTCGCCAGTCATGGTCTCCGTCTCCGTCAGCTCGTCTGCCACTCGGTCGAGGCAAGCACGATTCGTCATAAGGATGTTCAAGGCATTGAGATAGCAATCATCCGAGATCTGCTTGATGGCTGTGTCGATCTTCTCACTCAGCTCCTCGGAGTAGTCGGGGCCCATGAAACCGCCGTCATCGATGGCCTGGGCTGCCAAGCTCAAAAGCAAAGTGAAAGGCCTACAGACTCCATGGAGCCGTCGTTCGAACGTACATTCTTGACTTGAACCCCCGGAATCCAAGCGGCAAGGGAGCCCACCTCTGACATGCCGAACTGTGTGACCATAGCCCGGGCCATTCGCTCTACTTGCTGGAGGTCGCCGCCAGCACCAGTGGTCACCTGCTTAAACCGGCCACATGCAAAATTTGGAATGCCCATCGACACGACGCGCTACTTCTAACCCTACGTTTTAGCAGTCGCCAGTACCCGAACGCTGCGTGATTGTGACTGATTCCATACACAGATACTCACAACTTGAGCAGTGCACCACGACATGCATCAGAATCGGCTCACAGACCTTCAGCCTTAGTGCCTCTTGAAACACCTCCGCCCGACAAGCACTGCGGAAAGACAACACGCCCCTGGCCTGGCTGGTTCCAAACACAAGCTGCTCCGCTGCCCGTCCACCCAGGGCGCCGGCGATGCGGGCTTTGAGCATGGCGGCCGAGATCAGGCTCTGGTCCTGCAAGGGCTTAGATGCTCAGCTTTTCGTTCCAGTTCATACCCTCTTTGGTTTCCAGATCTGGGAGGATGGATTGGAAACAAGAAGTAGCTGTGCTAATTTTGGGTCTTGTGAGTCTTGTTTTAAAATGAGATTCGTTTCTACTGTTCTCGCGACTCGCCTGTGCTGTTCTCTGCTAATCTGACAAACCAATCGAACACATGAGCAAGCCAAGCACAACCCGGTCCTCTCCGGGAGTGAACCAAGTCAGGCCCTTCGCCTGCCCACGAGGGATCAGAGTCACCTTGTTGACAGGGTCGTGGTACCTTGATCTGCGGCCCTACTAGAATCACTAGAATCTTACCAGCGCCTGCAAGAGCAGAGGACGGCGTTTGCAAAAAAGCGCGGCCGGCACAAGGCAAAGAACAACATGCAAAACAACATGCTCCAAAAAGACCCAGGCACGGGAGCAGAGTGCCGACAATGGCGTGTCCAGCCTCGTGGTATGCGATGAGCTTTTTTGCCGCGTTGTCCTGCAGTGCCCGACCCTCCAGACCGGCGATGACTCGGTCCGTGGCATCGTTGATCTCATCCATGCTGATCGCCTTCTTGTTGCGACGTGCCGCGAGGATGGCCGACTCGTTCATGAGATTCTCCAAGTCGGCACCAGAAAAGCCCGCAGTGCGCTTGGCAATGTCCATGAGCGTGATCTCACCGTCCAGCTTCTTGTTCTTGACGTGAACTTCCAAGATCTGTGCCCTGCCTTTGACATCTGGGAGGCCGACTTGCACACGGCGGTCAAAGCGGCCGGGGCGCAGCAAAGCATTGTCCAGGATGTCAGACCTGTTCGTGGCAGCAACGACGATGACGCCACTGTTGCCCTCGAAGCCGTCCATTTCCGTGAGGATCTGGTTCAGAGTCTGCTCACGCTCGTCGTTGCCACCGCCCATGCCGGCCCCACGCTGACGACCAATAGCATCAATCTCGTCAATGAAAACGATGCAGGGCGCTTTCTCCTTTGCCTGCTTGAAGATGTCCCGCACGCGAGAAGCACCCACACCGACGAAGAGCTCGATGAACTCAGAGGCTGATGACTGGATAAATGGCACACCAGACTCGCCGGCAAGAGCCTTGGCCATCAGTGTCTTACCAGTGCCAGGAGGCCCCGTCAGCAGGACGCCACGGGGAATCTTGGCACCAACCTTCACGAACCTCTCTGGTGCTTTGAGGAAATCCACGATCTCCATGAGCTCTTCCTTCGCCTCGTCAATCCCGGCCACGTCTTCAAACTTCACGCCCGTCTCTGGCGTGATCATAATCTTCGCCTGGCCCTGGTTGCCAAAGCCTGGGATGCCGCCGCCACCCGGTGCGCGGGAGCGCAGGAAGAGCAGGCCGGCGATCAGCAGAAGCGGGAAGGCAACATCACCGAGCACGTTGAACAAAGGGTTGGGCTTCTCCGGCTGGTGGACCTCGATGGAAATACCCTTTGTCGTGAGCTTCTCGATAAGGCCCGTGGTGGCTCCTGGAAGATCGCACACAAGCTGCTGCTCGCGGCCACCCACAGAAACGGTGGCAACCGCCGTGCGACCAAGGTCGTAGAAGTCCACACGCTTCACAGAGCCCTCGTCCACGAACTCGAGGAGACGTGAGTAGGTCACACGCCCGGTGACCCGGGCGAAGCCACCCCCACCAGGCTGCTGCATTTGCATCTGCGGTGCTCCCACAGACTGCAGTGCGGGGACATCGTCTGCCTTGGCTGCGAGCGGTGCTGCGGTGGCGGCCAGGGCGGCGAGGACCTGCACCGCGGCGTGCTTCACCACGTGCTCAGGCAGCGCAGCACCCGTGGAGACCTCGGAGGCCATGTCCTTCACGCGGCGCATCACTTCCTCGCTCGTCGATTCTCGGCTCTCCGCCTCTGGCGTTGCCAGCCCGAGCCGAGCAACAGCGCTGCGGGCGGCCTTGCCATCCCGCGGCGCAGCACGAGTGGAGCCACAGAAGCCACGACGAGGGCAGTCGGCGCATGCGAACCTGGGACTCTGAAGACTATGTTGGACATGGACCCCAGACGCCTTTGTAACTACTGCTTGCTTGTACTTCTCGTGGCTATCTGCTCTAGTTACTACGTGCTGGACAGGCAGGGACAGGCGGGAAGAGACTGCCCACCGAGAAGCATCATCGGCTTGTCCGGGTGGACGCACTGTGTTTTACGAGGCATGGAAACCTCAGCCGTTGTCTCGATTACCTCGCCCGTGTAGGCTGCCACAGCCATTTGAGAATTGCCCATGATGAGCTTGCCCTCTGCAGCTGCCTTGTTGATCAGTTTCATGAGCTGCTCCCCAGACACCTTCTCCTCCTCCATCAAGAGCTTCGCAAGCTCATCCAGGAGGTACATGTTATCCCGCAGGAGCGTCATTCCACGCTGGTACTGCTCGTCAACGATGCGCTTGACCTCGGCATCCACCTTCTGCTTCAGAGCCTGCGACATGGGAGGGGCGCCCTGGCCCATGAAGTCACGGCCCATGAAAGGTCCTCCTCCCTGCTGTCCTCCGAGAAGTCGCTGGCCAATCTCCGGGGACATGCCCAGAGACATGACCATCTGCTTTGCGACTTGTGTGCACTGCTGGAAATCATTGGAGGCACCAGTGGTCACATTGTCCTTGCCGTTGATGATCTCCTCAGCCAAACGGCCACCAAGCGCGACGCACATGCGGTTCTCCAAGAACTCCTTCGAGTACAGTCCAGAGTTGAGCCTGTCTTCGGAAGGCATGAAGATAGTGACACCACCAGCTGGTCCACGAGGAACGATGCTGATCTTTGCCACGATGTCATAATCGTTCATCAGTGCCCCCAGGATGGCATGACCGGCCTCATGGTATGCGACCAACTTCTTCTTCTGCTCAGACATCACCGCATCCTTCTTCTCCAGGCCGATAGCTATGCGCTCGAGGGCATTGAAGATGTCGTCGGAGTCGATCTCCGCCTTGTTCTGGCGTGCCGCTGTAATGGCGCCCTCGTTCAACAAGTTGGCAAGGTCTGCGCCGGACATGCCGGGCGTCTGTCTGGCAATGGCAGTAAGGTCGACGCCGGGCGCCAGATTCTTACCCTTGGCATGGACCTTCAGGATTTCGGAGCGGCCCTGCACATCAGGTGGGTCCACCTGGATCTGGCGATCGAAGCGCCCCGGGCGCACCAAGGCCTGATCAAGGATGTCTGCCCTGTTCGTGGCCGCAATCACCACGACACCCTTGTTCGCCTCGAAGCCATCCATCTCGGTCAGAAGCTGATTCACCGTCTGCTCCCGTTCATCGTTGCCCTGTCCAAAGCCTGCGCTCCGCTGACGGCCGACCGCATCGATCTCGTCGATGAAGATGATGCAGGGGGCAGACTTCTTGGCCTGCTCGAAAAGGTCGCGCACCCGCGAGGCACCGATGCCTGCGAAGATCTCCACGAACTCCGAGGCAGAGATGCTGAAGAAGGGAACACCAGCTTCTCCGGCGACGGCCTTGGCCAGTAGTGTCTTGCCTGTACCCGGCGGGCCAACGAGGAGGGCGCCCTTGGGGATCTTGGCACCGAGATCCGAGTAGCGTGAGGTGTTCTTCAGGAAGTCGACGACCTGGGCTTGTGTGGACTACTTGCAGACTCCTTCCTGCTGCAAGAACTTCCTTCCTATGACACTGGCCTCGCTATGCTGAAGCTACTTATGCAATTTCTCCTGAAGCAGCAAGTCATGGTGCCCCCAGCTCAAGCAGCCTCGCAACCTTCCCATTTCGCTTACCGGCAGTCTACTTGAGCTCCTGTTTTTCTCTCTTTTATTTCACAGCTGGGCCGACGACCTCCACCAACTCCAGCTTGGCACCGTCGCATCCAGCCACATCTGCGAACTTGACCTTCGTGTCCCCATCCTTGATGATGCGAGCCTTCGACTTCCCCAGCTCGAAAGGGTTGCCGCCTGGGCCGCCGGGTCCGGCAGGCCCTCCCATGCCCGCACCTCCAAACAGAAAGAGGAGACCGGCGATGAGCCACGCAATGGGGCCGGCAAAGCGTGCCAGGAAGTCTAAGGGCCCACCCTGGTTGGCACCAGGGGTCTGCATGACGACATCCACCTTCTTTTGTGCCAAAGTATTGAACAGCTGGTCCTCGACCTGAGCATTGGGGATTAAGTTCACCTCATGGCGAGCGCCATCCTTGGTCGTGTACTGTGCCGAAAGCTGATCATCCTGGACGCGCACCATCTCGACATCACCGCGGTTGACGGAATCCATGAAGTCAGAGTAGTTCACGACATCCGCTGCCATGGCAGGCTGCAGGCTGACACTGAAAGTCAACAGCAAGGATGCGGCAGCACCGGCTGCCCAGCGCAGCTGTTTCTCAGTGCCCTCGCGCAGCACATCGCTTGCACCGGTGGCTACTTCAGCAAAGGCTCGGGCAGTCGGGCCAGAGAGGGCGGCACCACGTCGCAGTTCTGCTGCGGCAAAGGCCTGGAGCTGCTGCACCAGAAGCGCCAGCTGTTGTGGCTCTGGTTGCCTCAGAAGCTGCTCGGCCAAGACCACCAGCTCGGAAAGTCCTTTGGGGCTCTCCTGCCCCCTCTGCGCCTGCGTAGCTACCACTGCTCGGCTGCGCTTGGCTGTTCGGCGCGGGCCCATGGCTGCGACTGCACCCATTGCCGCCGCACTCGCACCGGCAGCTGCCATGTTCAGATGGCTGGCCTCGTCACTAGTCGAAGTGCTGCCGACTTGGCTGCGTGTCTGGGCCTGCATCTGGCGCGGGGCATCTCCGGCGCCGGGGGCGATGAAGCTGGGAGCTGCGAGGAGGGCTGCCGCTGCCGCTGCGCCGGCAAGCGCGGTCCTGCCGCTCGATCGCGCCATCTTGCTCACGACCGCCATCAGACGGCGAGGAGTCGGGAAGGAATTGGGAACTTGTCTCACTGCTCGTGCTGAGCGAAAATTGTCTGCAGCCCGGGAGATATGAACATCATTGGAGTGCTGCATGGTCCATAAAGCAAAAACTGAAAAACTCACCGCTCACAGACGTGGTTGGTAGGTTCATCCGAGGTCCTACAGAGCACAAGGGAGGCAAGGGAACCCAATTACAGACGGAAACGGTGAAATCCAAAAGGCAACTTTCCAGGCGGAGCTTAAGTGAGCATCCATCTTCACTCATGCCACTTGCTTCGTCGAGCTGCCACTTCAGGACGCAAAGCACATGCAGCTCTTTTTTCTGGTCGCGGGCTGCGGGCAGCGCAGGAAAAGCTGTTGTGTTTCGGAGAATGGGCACAAGTGCACATTGCATCCTGCCGTGGCGGCAGGGCCCACCAGTCACCCAGTCTATAGAGGTTATACATACACGGATAAGCGCTGCATACTGTTGAACACTTGGTGGACCCTCTGGCGAAAATGTTCAAACACGGTTCTTTAAACATCCTACCGCGTGGGCTGTACTGCTTCTGTCACAAGCTCATGCATGCTGCAGCGCTGCAAACATAGAAGTGAGGCTACAGTTACGCCGAATGTCGAAAGGAAACTCCTTGTGCACCGAAGCAGGAACAGGACGTATTGAGATACGTACGGGAAATCATGAAATCGATATACTCAGCTTGTATAGCTGCGACCCTTGAAATCTGTCCAGGTCTTTTGAGCTCTCCCAGGTCGAGGCTATGCACAAGATAAAAAAAACGATCTGGGCGGAGGTTTCCCCGGCTCAGGCGCGAATGGCGTTCAGGGCGGCGGGCATTAGCCCCGTGCACAAATTCCCACTAAGACGTTCGCATGCTGAGGTGTCGTGAGGAGTCTGGGCCTCACACGGCCGCAAGCTTCTCGGGGACCTCCACGTATTCGGCGATGATCTCCCGAAGACGGTCGCCAGTCATGGTCTCCGTCTCCGTCAGCTCGTCTGCCACTCGGTCGAGGCAAGCACGATTCGTCATAAGGATGTTCAAGGCATTGAGATAGCAATCATCCGAGATCTGCTTGATGGCTGTGTCGATCTTCTCACTCAGCTCCTCGGAGTAGTCGGGGCCCATGAAACCGCCGTCATCGATGGCCTGGGCTGCCAAGCTCAAAAGCAAATTGAAAGGCCTACAGACTCCATGGAGCCGTCGTTCGAACGTACATTCTTGACTTGAACCCCCGGAATCCAAGCGGCAAGGGAGCCCACCTCTGACATGCCGAACTGTGTGACCATAGCCCGGGCCATTCGCTCTACTTGCTGGAGGTCGCCGCCAGCACCAGTGGTCACCTGCTTAGACCGGCCACGTGAAAAATTTGGAATGCCCATCGACACGACGCGCCACTTCTAACCCTACGTTTTATCACCTTCGCCGCTGGCTAAGGCCTGAGTCCATCATACCCAATCTGGTCTAGCAACAGTCCAACACGTCGTCGCCAATACCCGAATGCTGCGTGATTGTGACTGATTCCATACACAGATACTCACAGGGGCACCACGACATGCATCAGAATCGGCTCACAGACCTTCAGCCTTAGTGCCTCTTTGAAACACCTCCGCCCGACAAGCACTGCGGAAAGACAACACGCCCCTGGCCTGGCTGGTTCCAAAGACAAGCTGCTCCGCTGCCCGTCCACCCAGGGCGCCGGCGATGCGGGCTTTGAGCATGGCGGCCGAGATCAGGCTCTGGTCCTGCAAGGGCTTAGATGCTCAGCTTTTCGTTCCAGTTCATACCCTCTTTGGTTTCCAGATCTGGGAGGATGGATTGGAAACAAGAAGTAGCTGTGCTAATTTTGGGTCTTGTGAGTCTTGTTTTAAAATGAGATTCGTTTCTACTGTTCTCGCGACTCGCCTGTGCTGTTCTCTGCTAATCTGACAAACCAATCGAACACATGAGCAAGCCAAGCACAACCCGGTCCTCTCCGGGAGTGAACCAAGTCAGGCCCTTCGCCTGCCCACGAGGGATCAGAGTCACCTTGTTGACAGGGTCGTGGTACCTTGATCTGCGGCCCTACTAGAATCACTAGAATCTTACCAGCGCCTGCAAGAGCAGAGGACGGCGTTTGCAAAAAAGCGCGGCCGGCACAAGGCAAAGAACAACATGCAAAACAACATGCTCCAAAAAGACCCAGGCACGGGAGCAGAGTGCCGACAATGGCGTGTCCAGCCTCGTGGTATGCGATGAGCTTTTTTGCCGCGTTGTCCTGCAGTGCCCGACCCTCCAGACCGGCGATGACTCGGTCCGTGGCATCGTTGATCTCATCCATGCTGATCGCCTTCTTGTTGCGACGTGCCGCGAGGATGGCCGACTCGTTCATGAGATTCTCCAAGTCGGCACCAGAAAAGCCCGCAGTGCGCTTGGCAATGTCCATGAGCGTGATCTCACCGTCCAGCTTCTTGTTCTTGACGTGAACTTCCAAGATCTGTGCCCTGCCTTTGACATCTGGGAGGCCGACTTGCACACGGCGGTCAAAGCGGCCGGGGCGCAGCAAAGCATTGTCCAGGATGTCAGACCTGTTCGTGGCAGCAACGACGATGACGCCACTGTTGCCCTCGAAGCCGTCCATTTCCGTGAGGATCTGGTTCAGAGTCTGCTCACGCTCGTCGTTGCCACCGCCCATGCCGGCCCCACGCTGACGACCAATAGCATCAATCTCGTCAATGAAAACGATGCAGGGCGCTTTCTCCTTTGCCTGCTTGAAGATGTCCCGCACGCGAGAAGCACCCACACCGACGAAGAGCTCGATGAACTCAGAGGCTGATGACTGGATAAATGGCACACCAGACTCGCCGGCAAGAGCCTTGGCCATCAGTGTCTTACCAGTGCCAGGAGGCCCCGTCAGCAGGACGCCACGGGGAATCTTGGCACCAACCTTCACGAACCTCTCTGGTGCTTTGAGGAAATCCACGATCTCCATGAGCTCTTCCTTCGCCTCGTCAATCCCGGCCACGTCTTCAAACTTCACGCCCGTCTCTGGCGTGATCATAATCTTCGCCTGGCCCTGGTTGCCAAAGCCTGGGATGCCGCCGCCACCCGGTGCGCGGGAGCGCAGGAAGAGCAGGCCGGCGATCAGCAGAAGCGGGAAGGCAACATCACCGAGCACGTTGAACAAAGGGTTGGGCTTCTCCGGCTGGTGGACCTCGATGGAAATACCCTTTGTCGTGAGCTTCTCGATAAGGCCCGTGGTGGCTCCTGGAAGATCGCACACAAGCTGCTGCTCGCGGCCACCCACAGAAACGGTGGCAACCGCCGTGCGACCAAGGTCGTAGAAGTCCACACGCTTCACAGAGCCCTCGTCCACGAACTCGAGGAGACGCGAGTAGGTCACACGCCCGGTGACCCGGGCGAAACCACCCCCACCAGGCTGCTGCATTTGCATCTGCGGTGCTCCCACAGACTGCAGTGCGGGGACATCGTCTGCCTTGGCTGCGAGCGGTGCTGCGGTGGCGGCCAGGGCGGCGAGGACCTGCACCGCGGCGTGCTTCACCACGTGCTCAGGCAGCGCAGCACCCGTGGAGACCTCGGAGGCCATGTCCTTCACGCGGCGCATCACTTCCTCGCTCGTCGATTCTCGGCTCTCCGCCTCTGGCGTTGCCAGCCCGAGCCGAGCAACAGCGCTGCGGGCGGCCTTGCCATCCCGCGGCGCAGCACGAGTGGAGCCACAGAAGCCACGACGAGGGCAGTCGGCGCATGCGAACCTGGGACTCTGAAGACTATATTGGACATGGACCCCAGACGCCTTTGTAACTACTGCTTGCTTGTACTTCTCGTGGCTATCTGCTCTAGTTACTACGTGCTGGACAGGCAGGGACAGGCGGGAAGAGACTGCCCACCGAGAAGCATCATCGGCTTGTCCGGGTGGACGCACTGTGTTTTACGAGGCATGGAAACTTCAGCCGTTGTCTCGATTACCTCGCCCGTGTAGGCTGCCACAGCCATTTGAGAATTGCCCATGATGAGCTTGCCCTCTGCAGCTGCCTTGTTGATCAGTTTCATGAGCTGCTCCCCAGACACCTTCTCCTCCTCCATCAAGAGCTTCGCAAGCTCATCCAGGAGGTACATGTTATCCCGCAGGAGCGTCATTCCACGCTGGTACTGCTCGTCAACGATGCGCTTGACCTCCGCATCCACCTTCTGCTTCAGAGCCTGCGACATGGGAGGGGCGCCCTGGCCCATGAAGTCACGGCCCATGAAAGGTCCTCCTCCCTGCTGTCCTCCGAGAAGTCGCTGGCCAATCTCCGGGGACATGCCCAGAGACATGACCATCTGCTTTGCGACTTGTGTGCACTGCTGGAAATCATTGGAGGCACCAGTGGTCACATTGTCCTTGCCGTTGATGATCTCCTCAGCCAAACGGCCACCAAGCGCGACGCACATGCGGTTCTCCAAGAACTCCTTCGAGTACAGTCCAGAGTTGAGCCTGTCTTCGGAAGGCATGAAGATAGTGACACCACCAGCTGGTCCACGAGGAACGATGCTGATCTTTGCCACGATGTCATAATCGTTCATCAGTGCCCCCAGGATGGCATGACCGGCCTCATGGTATGCGACCAACTTCTTCTTCTGCTCAGACATCACCGCATCCTTCTTCTCCAGGCCGATAGCTATGCGCTCGAGGGCATTGAAGATGTCGTCGGAGTCGATCTCCGCCTTGTTCTGGCGTGCCGCTGTAATGGCGCCCTCGTTCAACAAGTTGGCAAGGTCTGCGCCGGACATGCCGGGCGTCTGTCTGGCAATGGCAGTAAGGTCGACGCCGGGCGCCAGATTCTTACCCTTGGCATGGACCTTCAGGATTTCGGAGCGGCCCTGCACATCAGGTGGGTCCACCTGGATCTGGCGATCGAAGCGCCCCGGGCGCACCAAGGCCTGATCAAGGATGTCTGCCCTGTTCGTGGCCGCAATCACCACGACACCCTTGTTCGCCTCGAAGCCATCCATCTCGGTCAGAAGCTGATTCACCGTCTGCTCCCGTTCATCGTTGCCCTGTCCAAAGCCTGCGCTCCGCTGACGGCCGACCGCATCGATCTCGTCGATGAAGATGATGCAGGGGGCAGACTTCTTGGCCTGCTCGAAAAGGTCGCGCACCCGCGAGGCACCGATGCCTGCGAAGATCTCCACGAACTCCGAGGCAGAGATGCTGAAGAAGGGAACACCAGCTTCTCCGGCGACGGCCTTGGCCAGTAGTGTCTTGCCTGTACCCGGCGGGCCAACGAGGAGGGCGCCCTTGGGGATCTTGGCACCGAGATCCGAGTAGCGTGAGGTGTTCTTCAGGAAGTCGACGACCTGGGCTTGTGTGGACTACTTGCAGACTCCTTCCTGCTGCAAGAACTTCCTTCCTATGACACTGGCCTCGCTATGCTGAAGCTACTTATGCAACTTCTCCTGAAGCAGCAAATGTCATGGTGCCCCCAGCTCAAGCAGCCTCGCAACCTTCCCATTCCGCTAACCGGCAGTCTACTTGAGCTCCTGTTTTTCTCTCTTCTATTTCACAGCTGGGCCGACGACCTCCACCAACTCCAGCTTGGCACCGTCGCATCCAGCCACATCTGCGAACTTGACCTTCGTGTCCCCATCCTTGATGATGCGAGCCTTCGACTTCCCCAGCTCGAAAGGGTTGCCGCCTGGGCCGCCGGGTCCGGCAGGCCCTCCCATGCCCGCACCTCCAAACAGAAAGAGGAGACCGGCGATGAGCCACGCAATGGGGCCGGCAAAGCGTGCCAGGAAGTCTAAGGGCCCACCTTGGTTGGCACCAGGGGTCTGCATGACGACATCCACCTTCTTTTGTGCCAAAGTATTGAACAGCTGGTCCTCGACCTGAGCATTGGGGATTAAGTTCACCTCATGGCGAGCGCCATCCTTGGTCGTGTACTGTGCCGACAGCTGATCATCCTGGACGCGCACCATCTCGACATCACCGCGGTTGACGGAATCCATGAAGTCAGAGTAGTTCACGACATCCGCTGCCATGGCAGGCTGCAGGCTGACACTGAAAGTCAACAGCAAGGATGCGGCAGCACCGGCTGCCCAGCGGAGCTGTTTCTCAGCGCCCTCGCGCAGCACATCGCTTGCACCGGTGGCTACTTCAGTAAAGGCTCGGGCAGTCGGGCCAGAGAGGGCGGCACCACGTCGCAGTTCTGCCGCGGCAAAGGCCTGGAGCTGCTGCACCAGAAGCGCCAGCTGTTGTGGCTCTGGTTGCCTCAGAAGCTGCTCGGCCAAGGCCACCAGCTCGGAAAGTCCTTTGGGGCTCTCGTGCCCCCTCTGCGCCTGCGTAGCTACCACTGCTCGGCTGCGCTTGGCTGTTCGGCGCGGGCCCATGGCTGCGACTGCACCCATTGCCGCCGCACTCGCACCGGCAGCTGCCATGTTCAGGTGGCTGGCCTCGTCACTAGTCGAAGTGCTGCCGACTTGGCTGCGTGTCTGGGCCTGCATCTGGCGTGGGGCATCTCCGGCGCCGGGGGCGATGAAGCTGGGAGCTGCGAGGAGGGCTGCCGCTGCCGCTGCGCCGGCAAGCGCGGTCCTGCCGCTCGATCGCGCCATCTTGCTCACGACCGCCATCAGACGGCGAGGAGTCGGGAAGGAATTGGGAACTTGTCTCACTGCTCGTGCTGAGCGAAAATTGTCTGCAGCCCGGGAGATATGAACAACAAGTGAACAAGACTTAAAGAAAAGTCTCGGATCACAGGTGTATTCTTCATCGCATCACCGGATTATTTGCAGGATGCGAAGCCCGAGATCCAAAGGTGCCTTGCGGGAGTTGATCTTTAGCCCAATATCCTTCGATGTGATGCCGACCTGTGAGGAGCGGGTGATCAAAAAATGGCAGAAAGTTGCGTAACTCGGTGGCAGGGCTTCAGCCTGACGGGTACCCCACCCTATAATGGGCTATATAACGGGTATATAATAACTATATTAAGGGTATGTATCTTGGGGCCTGGGGGGTTTCAAGGTCGCAAGTGGACGCTGACCTGTGAACGCATGGCAGCATGTTGCACGTTCCTGCTAAATTCGCCAACCACATTTTGCATGCCCATACACGCAAGGAAGTGGGAAGGGTAGAAGCAAATCTATCTGGGATGCGGGCGCTTTCGAAAAAGCTGACCACGGCCGAAAGAAGCTCGGCTTCCGCCGTGACCTATCGGACACGGATGCTTGAATGGGCCGATTCTGATCTCGGCTTGCCACACCTTCGAGGTGCTCCTTTCAGAAAGAGTGCTCTACTCCATCATATCCACAATGTGAGCCATGCAGGATCTAAATGGGCACAGCTTCACCATGAGCAGGTATTGAAAATATTGCAATGGCCGCTTGAACTATTGAACCACACGGACATGTGTCACTAGACACACACATCCCTATAGCCTCCAAGATCCCTAAAGTCCTAAAGGCAGCTCTTGCATGCCGACCTGAGACCTGGATCCGAAACCGAAGCAAATCTCCTTCCCAAGCTGATCTGCACGAGGCGGAAGGCCGAATCTAGGCTTTAGCCCTCGGCGGTGCTGTGCCTCGGCAACACCCACCTCGGAGTGGGGTTAAGAGTTAAGAGGGTTTCGGTACGCATGCCGGGGCAGAATGCGGACTGCTGCATGCATGGCTCAGCTTTTTCAATCGAAGCGTCCGAGGGTCCTCCAAGCCTTGACCGGCTGCCCTGAAATGTCTGCTCGGATCTTCCATTGTGAACCAGAGTAACACAGACTGAACTACTCTATCCGGATCCTATACCAGGGGCCGAGGACCGCACCATTCCACAAGCTGGTTTCTGTCCGGCTAACCACAAAACTAGCGGGCACTTCATGTCGCAAACACCTATATGGGCACCGCTTGGCGAACCCTGTACACGAAACACGGGCCTAACAGACCTTGGAGAACTAGCTCGGGTCGTTGACAGAATTTTTGCACCAATCTATGTCCGAGCAGAGGCAGGGAGTGCAGCCTGTCCGGATGGAACGGCAAAACTGCAATCTTCACCAACTCCTGGCGTGACCCGGCCACAGCCTTTTTGTTTGGCAGGTTTGGGAATGGCACGTGTTGGCACTTCGTCGGAAAAAGCATTGATGCGGCAATTTGCGGTGCACGCAGGTCCGACGGGCGGGTACGCCAGGGAGACTAAAACAGTTCTGAGAGCAGCATGCTGCTGAAAAGTGCCACTAAAAGGGCCCGAAGCACTTGCAGCTAGAGCCTTAGCTTCATGTTGGAGCAGACAACGCTTCAAGCAATAGGCCTAAGAGAAGACACTTCAAGCGACAAACCTCGCAAGGCTTCCGGGTCTTTTTGGAAAAGAGATTTTGGAGTGGCAGCTTCTTGTCCGGTGCTCAGACCTGGTGCCTATTGAGGCACTTCGAGGCTAAAAGGGAAGCTTTGAGGCAAGCAGGTGGAGCCATGACAGCCGGCACCTGAATTACTTCGTTTCTTCGGACCTGTTTCAGCAGCTTTCCCATACTTTTGAACTTATGACCATTACAGCACTTCACTTCAGTGCCGACACTAGAGGCCCCACGTCTCACCTCCTGCTTCTAGATCTTCTATGCTCAGGCAATGAAGTACTGCTTGAATGGCCCAGGGAAGCGGCCGCCTTTCTCGAGAATGTCCTCCAGGCAGTACAAGGTGATGTGTTAGTCATTTCTATGGTTGTTAATCCTATTGTTACTGCTGTTGTTTATGCTCGTCTCGTTTACGATTATTGTGGCTCTTACTATCCAAATTACTAGTACGATTATGTTTGTTGGTATTGTTACTAGACTCTACTGGACATACCACCAATAAATGCTGGCATGACCATTCTTACTTATTACTATTGTTTGTATGTTGCCCTGCTTCTTATTAAGATTTGGTATTTTGTTACTACTACTATTTCTATTCATATTTGTGTTTTGTTCTTTTACGTGCACGGAGAGCATTTTTGGTACCACTACTTTTGGTACTGCTGGGTAATACTATTCACTGTTCTTATTGCTACCAATATCTTTGTATTCTTGTGATGCGCTATGTTACTTAATTATGTCTTACCCTATGAGATACTTATTAAGACAACTTGTCCTGCCACTACTGTTAAATATTTGTACTGCTATCATTGTTATTGCTACTACAGAAAGGCCTTTCCTCAATGCCTGCTTGAGGACCCTCTAGTACTGTTGCTATTTGTCTAAATCTATTCTTGCCGTTTTGTTGGCTGGAGTACTCTTAATAGTATCAATACCAGTACTCGTGGTCGTAGTAGCAGTAGAGAGCAGGAACAGGAGATAGATAATGATGGCAATAGCATCCCGAGCATTGACTGATAGACAGAGACACGCACACCAGGAATGTCCTGTTGCTCTATTACGGCTACAGTCAAAAGTTTATTATGATAGCAAGGGTGCCAATAACTCACATCATGTCAATTGCAAGAAGCGCGTCCTGCGTCTTCTGCAGAGCCTTGAAGCGGTTGTAGAAATTCTGCAGGCCGGGGTACGGCGTAAGGACCTCTTCATGCAAAGGTTCTCTTCACTCGGTGCTTCTGGGTCCCAAAATAGAACTCAAATCCCAAAGCAAGGAAGGTTTCGCAACTTTGCAGCCACAAGACGAGAATGAGGCTGAGAATGGAAGCATTGAAAGCAGTGACTTTTCAGAGTCGCTTGACTCTGCTGGCCACCCCAACCTCCTGTGCACGCAGGCCCTGCACGTATCACGCGGGTGATCGCACAGACTGTTTTAGAGTTGGGTGTTGCTGCCAGGTTGTGAGGCTGAAAGCATGGTCAAGGCGCTGTGGGCTTGATCAGCGCCAGGCAGTGCAGCATCCTTGCGCGGTCGGCGATGGTGTGAGGCCACCAGACGTTGGTGTCGGGCACGGGGGTTAGGGCGCAAGAGGCTCGCAATGTAGCAGAGGTGAGTCCGGGTCTTGGGGGCATCATGTCAGCCTGGAGGCCTAGGATACGAGAAGAGGCCTTGTCAATTTCTGCCGGATTTATAGTGTTTTGGGCAGTCCCACACCAGCCTAGGGTTAGGGGTTTGAGTCTAGGCCAAAGATACTGGAAGTTGCAAAGTGCCGCGCTTCTATGCAGAGGACTTGCGCCAAAGCAATCCCCGGTACACTCTGACTGCGCCTGCAAGATCTCGCCTCAAGAACTCTCTTCAGCAAGAGCTTTTCACGGGTAGCGATGCAGGCTCCGGATGCCTATACCTTATAGACAAACACCTCCAGCCAATTCGGCACATACGTCTGCAGGCAGGCCGAGGCGGGCGATACGAAGCGATAAAAATTACAATAAGTCCTATGATTAGCCAGCTCGTACTCTGCTGGGTCATCAAAGCCATGTAACGCCCAGGGATATTACCACCCGCAACCCTGTCCAGTACGGCCTGCACCCCTCAAAAATGCAGAAAACAGGTCCCTAACACGAGCCGAAACAACCTGATACCGAAAGCCCAAGTCTGCCCAAACAGAAACCTCTAGAGTCTTGGGTGGTTAGTATTGTTGGGCTGCTTGGCGTTTATGGGGTGTGGCAGTTTCGGTGGTTTGGAGTTCTTGATTTTTTAGGGGCATTCGGCAATGGCATCGGGGCATGTAGCATGCTGGGTTTAGGACTTTAATGGTTTCTGGTGAGGGCTGTACCGAGACTTTGGGATTTAGATTCTTGATGTTTGGCACTTCCTGGCTTAAGATACTTTCGACTACGCCAAGAAGCGTGAAGAGCTTGCACTCCCCTACCGACACGCCACTAGTGGTGAACTTGCCGGTGTTGCCGCCTGACCAGAAACCCCGAAGCCCGATGCTTCCGCACCATCCAAAATAGCAAATCAACTGGACACCAGGAAATCGAAACCACGTGAAGCATAGAAATTTGCCCTTGCCGGTTCACGATGTCGAGTTTCGACTGTCACAGTCACAGCTACCTGAAAAAATCCTCGAAGGCAAACTAACTGGGATGTACATTGACGCTACCTTGCAGGGCAAAGTGGCTTGGTGTTTTGCTTGCAAGTGTAGCAGGGCATCCGGAGCCTACGGAAAGGGCTCACGCTCCTGTCACCTGTCCGTGAACTAGGGAGACACGAAGCCCCGCATCTCGAACCTTCTGTGCAGTGAGCCCTACAATGTGCAGACCTCAAGGCCTACGCAGGAAAACACCTGTATGGCAGAAGTGCAATGTAAACAGGATAGACAGCGGCAGTACAGGACTCCCCTTCTTGAATACGTCGTCTCCTCCCGCGAGGGTGCCCGAAGTTAGAACTGGTGCGGACTCCCCTGCTTTTTTGACTCCCCTGCTCAAAACTCCGGGTTCTCCTGGGTGCGATGGGCACAGGTAGTAGCCGAGGATCCTACACTCAACGATGAAATGTACGAACCGCCTTTGCCGGCGATCTTGATGTAAAACTTCTCCAAATACTGGAGGTACGCATGGATGCCATACTCCTTGGTGGCAACCAGAAGGACGCTCCCGCTGCATAAGATAAGAACAAAGCAGCATATGCACATAGCATTCATGAAAGCCCAAATCCCTTCCTCCAAGTAGTCCGGCGATTCAAGGTGTTCGAGAGAGAGCGTTGTCCGTGCTTTGTAGCCTACACTGAACTGGGCTTATGGACGCCCGTAGCAGCCGTAGCACACCGAATCCTCTGCAAAATCGCCAGCGCAAAGTATATTCGCTACATTGAATCCAAGAAGCCCTACTATTCCCAAAGTGTTTGGGGATAACTCCTACCCCGTGACATCCTCCTAAGTCAGGCCATCTACTCCAAAGCCCCAAAAGCCCTCTAGCCCCGAACCTCTCTACTCCCAGCCGGGGATCTCGGTTGTGCTTGGCCGTGTCGGTGTCCTCCCAGAAAGCACGAAGATCCTCGGCCGAGCATTTGTCCTCCAGCTGAGGCTTCACAAGTCTGCTCCGGAGCTCAAGGGTAGTGTAGCCGAAGGAAGGACAGAATGGTACATGCGTGTCAGGCTGATCACTCTTCTGGGTCAGACGTTTGGCTGAGGTGTGTGAGTGTACCATCAGCTGGAGCGGCTGTAAACAGCCGTAACATGCCGGTACATCATGCCGGTGGACTCGCCCGAGGCCGTCGGCCGTAATTCTCCAGCCTTAACCGCCTGGAACCTCCCTGCCTTCAAGCCGATGGTATTCTGGTACTTGCCCAACTTCTGGTAAATGTCCTGACAAAGCATTCGGCGGTTGTGGTGCAGAAGGGTCCCGCTTACGATATGGTGCTTTGCTTAATCACCCCCATTCGGGTATCGCCGAAAGAGCACTAGAACTCGCGGCGCTTCGACAGAAATCTGCATCTTTCGAAACAGAATCTGCTGTGAGGGAAAGCCGTGTCTCTTGAGGCACGTCGCCTCACCGAGACGGGGCTTGCAGTGTCAACCTTGGGCTAAGATGCAGGGGCCAAGTAACCTTCTTCCGGATGTGGACTGCCAGGGTCCCCAAGCTGAAAGAGCTTCAAGGACACGGATTCTCCCCTCGCACTCCTCGGCCTGCGAGGCGATCTGCAGCGAGATGAGGAACCTGACAGCACATCCACAGCGTTTTCGGGGAACGAATCATAAGACACCAGATTCTGGTGTAAGAGTACCTAGGAATAAAAAGGGTGCCCTTTTTGGGTTAAAGGGTGTTATAAAGGGAACCTAAACCCTAAAAAAGGGAATAAGGGCCTACTCTGGGTCCTAAAGAATCAAAAGACCAGGCTTCAGGTTCCGACATGACCCTAATCGTAAGCCCAGACTTCCGGAAGGAAGCCGAGTCCAGGCCAGGGGGCTCCTCATCGTTGGCACCGCCCAAGGCTGGCGAGCACTTGGCGAGGTAACTCCTGGGTTTCTGGGCTCTTCTTACGGCATTTAAGATAAGTCAGATAAGTTATACCTTAAAGACGAAGCCATAGTATTTACTATAGGTCTTCATTATGGTAGTTTCCACCCTTGCTTCGGCAATCGCATCTTTGGACACTCACACTCCGACGAATCTCCGGCTCAACGCTTTCTGCACTCGCAGTCTCGGACAAGTCGTGCGACGTTCATGCACCAGGTCTCAGGGTGAAAAAGGGGTTTGCAGCCTGCTCAGCACGGCAACCGACATTTCGACATTTGCCAGTCGGCCGACTGTCACAAAACTGCGCGCAACTAAAGCAGAAACAACAAAAGACGACAGAAACTCACATACATCTATTCTCACCCAAGCGCGGGAGTGCTTATGCCCCACACATGCGGGATCCACCACATAGCTGCGCACAGCCAGCTGAGCGACTGAACAAAGTTACAAACGTGAGGGCTGATATGGCTGCACCTAGACAGTGTTGACACAAAAACAGCAGCATAGCGGGCGAGCATTTTCATCTTTTGCCCGGTCTGCACCACAACTGGAGCTTCAGAGGCCGAGCATCGGCACCTCCCTTAGGGAGAGATGATCGTGTGCATGCCGCCCATTCAGCTGGTCGAGCGCAACTGGCTGAGGTTGAGGGCATCACACCCCCTCCACGCCGATGGTCGTCCCGCCTTGTGGGGGCATGAAGCCCAGAGCACATTCACCGCAGTTCTTCCCACGAACCTTCCGAGCTGGCATCTTCGAAGCAGAGAAGCTAGATAGCCAGCTACTCATCATCGTCATTTTCACAGCTTGGGCCACGCCATATGCCCCCCATGCACCATGGGCGAGATTCCACAAACCGGGTTCCTCGACCACGGCAACCATGATCGCTGCAAGGCAGACCCAGAACAGGACGAAGACGAGGGCACACAAGACGCCAATGCACTCCATCATCTGAAACTGCCTGTTCATGTCGGCGATGTCGGACTCCGACAGGAACTTCTTCAGGGAATCTGGCACCTCGTAGATGGGCGGAGCACAACAGCGCCGCTGCATCACAACGACCATCTCTTCCGGTGCAGGGGGCGGAAGGTTTCCCATGACTGATGCTGGAGGTTGCTCAAACGCGGCAAACAGCGACTGACTGAGGCCTCAGCCAAAGGTTAAGAGCGGACACAGAGACGAAAAGTCCGTTCGCCGGAAATTTCCTTGCTTCACGTCATGCCAGTTCCTATCACGCAAGTTCCCTTCAATGTTCTACCCCAACTCAAAGGCCATAGTACGGCTCGGAGCGCAAAACCCCCTGTGGCACGACTCATTGGGCAAAGGCACAGGATGGCAAACTCGTGGCCGATCATCTTTCCTGGAATTGCTAGGGAGCTATGGAGACTATGAAACACCAGACTGAAAGCACCCAGAAAAGACTGGTGCAAATCACAACCCGCCCTGAATCTCTGGGGGAGTGGGTTCGACTGAGTTTGGGGAGACACCAAGTAAAAGTCCCAGCTGTAACCAGACCACAAACCACACTTTTCGCAGTAGACAGACCACGATAGTCAAAGCAGAAGCCTCACCATCATCACCAACACCATCGTCATTGTCCGGTTCACCTCACCCCTCACCCATCGTCTCTTTCTTTCGCAGGGCCTACTGTCGCCTCTCTCTCTGTCTCTCTTTGCTTTGCTTTGCTCTGGGCCTGGGGCAGTCCCCTCTCTCTCTCTCCCTCTCACTCTGCATTCTTCATCGTGGCGCAAGAAGACAGCGCAGAAATTCCCGCCTTGGACCTCCAGAATCGGCAGCTCGCCGAAGGGTGTGGTGGGCTTAAAGTCCTCATTCATGACAGAGAACTTCTGGTGTTGTCTGCAAGTTCTTACACTGTACAGAGGGGGCCTCGGCCTTCAACTCTTGAGCTGGGATTTGGGGAGTCCAAGCTGTGAAGCTACGGGCCAATCACCTCTCCGGCCCCATGCCTGACACGTTGAGAAAGGTTGAGCACCATCTTGCCTCGTGTATGTTCAAACCCAGGGGCTCGAGGCCTCCTGCAGAGGCGTGCTGCTGATCCTGTGCTACTCGTGCTCCCCGTATCCCCACAACAGCCTGGCCTGGTCCTCATCAAAGCTGGGCATGTGTAGGGATGAAAGGGGGCCCGAAGATCGACACCCCTGAAGGCCAGAGTCCAGTCACGAAGCCTTGCAAAAGCCCCAAATCGCTGGACTTGGACTCTAACTGCCCCGTGGCTGCAGATGCTGAAACGCGAAACAGTGTCCACTGCTTATGGAGAGGCCAGCGACAGCGACATGACGACACAACCGATCCGCCAGGCCCTTTGCCCGCGCTCCTTCCAGTTTGATGGGAAAACGCCTTCCCAATCCAGGCCCCCATGGTGCAGGGCAAGCCTGGGGCTTCACGCTGCATTGAGGTCGGGGAGCATCTTGACTCTATAGAATCCCAGACCAACTGCACCAAGTTCCGTTGGCTCATATCATAGTCTCATAGTTCTAGGAGAACTATGAGCCATGAAATTGCTGTCTCCCAAACCCGGTGAGGTGTAACCGGTGGCGGTAAAGCCGAAACCACTAACCAAAAATTCACCAGAAAGGGCAGCAGGCCGCGAAGTGGTAGGCTACAATCAGCAGCCAGCAAACGAGTCAAGAGTGGTTTGATATTGGCGCCGCGTGAGTCGGATTGGCAAACCAATGTTACTGCAGCAAATCAGCCTTGAGTCGGCTTGAGGCTTTTTGAAGCTTTTTGGGGCTTTTTGAGGCTTCCGTGGCCAGGCTTTCTGCCTACAAACCTAGCGTTCAGGATCCTGTCCGGGCCAAGCCACGCGATTGCCGGACCCTTCGCGAAGACGTTGAAGTAATGCAGCTTGACTTTACCCAGGTCCTGCAGGCCCCACAGATCACTGAGTCCCGACATGTTGGTTCGAAGGTGAGCAACTTCAACTGGCCTAAAGCCTCATAAAACTGGAAAGATACCCTGGCGAAAGATGTATACTTTGCCAATCGGAAGCTTTACTCAACATCTTTCAGCCCGTGTAGCTAGAGTCCATGTCATCGGTTGTGCTACCGTTCCTGGTTTTTCTTGATGCCTTCGAAGCAGCCCGCAAAGCAGGACATGGCAACTGCAAGTGGCTTGCCCGGAATATTTCAGCCAACGCTGCGGAGGGTAATTTACGGCCGGACTCTGTCCCATCACAGTTCTGGGCTCGTGCTGTTCAATCCCGGCAGAAACAAGGCCCCGTCAATGTCCATGTTCCACCTAGGATGCTGACGGACGATGCTCACGATGGCAAGCTCTGGTAACGGAATCGTGGGACAACTTCGAATCCATTGAAGACTGAGGAGAACACAACGTGCACGCACATCACGGCTGACTCTCATTCAAGCTAAGATTCTGGTAGTGCTCGCGCTTCCTTGCAGAATGCTTGGCGACATAATCAAACATGCCAACAGCTGCAAGCTCCAATGCGATGCAGCATAAACTAGTGCTCTGAAGGCGCGGCGCGCGCAACCCTCCCTTGTTCCTGCCTGCCCCGTTGCGTAGTCTCGAAGCGCCAACACTGAGGGATGGCGTACCACCTGCGGTGGAAATCGACCACAACTAGACTGTCCATGGAGGGTAAGCAATATTGCCGAGTTCGAATATACCACCTCGTTACAATCGAGTTGGGTCAATAGAGCCCTAGCATCACCACATGTTCTGCCCAACCTGAAAAAATGCCGAATGCCGAAGACGCCTACCCACAATAAAGCAAATGCAACCTGGCCGCTTAAGTGGTAACACTGCAGCGATGGCACCTGCTCGTGCTTTGCCCTCCGGGCTATCATCCACATCTTCTGTGGAATGATTCCATGCTACGTGCAGTAGTAGTCGTCGTCGTAGTCGTAGTCTTTGTAGTGGTAGTAGTGGTAGTGGTAGTGGTAGTGGTAGTGGTAGTGGTAGTGGTAGTGGTAGTAGTAGTAGTAGTAGTAGTAGTAGCAGTAGCAGTAGCAGTAGCAGTGGCAGTGGCAGTGGTAGTGGTAGTGGTAGTGGTAGTGGTAGTGGTAGTGGTAGTTGTAGTAGTAGTAGTAGCAGTAGTAGTAGTAGTAGTAGCAGAAGTAGCAGCAGCAGCTGTAGCAGCAGGAGTAGGAGTAGGAGTTTGAGATAGGTGTCACGAGTGGGGTTTTTCGAACTCGAATTTGTGAGAGTTTGAACGTATTACATGTTGGACGAGATTGGAGAATTTGAAAAATTGAAGAAAAGTTTGGAGAATGAAGACTTTGAAGCTTGAATTTCCGAGTTTGAAAATGGGGACGAGTTTGTAGCTTGAAAACTTGAATGGGAATCCAACTTGGAAGTTTGAAGCCGCGGCAACGCGTTGCGCGAGGGAGCAAGGTGAAGGACCGCTGGAGAACGTGTAGAGGTTCACAAAGCAGCCCTCAGGCTCGAGTTCGAAAGTTTGAGAGTTTGGAGTTTGAAAGTTTGAATCCCAGGGAGATTGAAAGTTCGAAAGGTTCAAAGCTTGAAAGTTCGAAAAGTTCCAGACTTTGCGGGGTTGAAGGCTTGAAATGTTCAGGCTTCGAAAGTTTGAAAGCTTGAGGGACGTGGAGTTCGAATGTTTGACATTTTCAATGTTTGAAAGCATGGGGGTGTTGAAGGTTTGTAAGACTTTGAAGATTGAGTGCAATGAAAGCTTCAGTTTGAAATCATGCTGACGTTCTCATTTTAAGCCTGGCTGGGTAACGCCAACATGCACACGCCGATGCTCGTAACAAATCGCACACCTCATGTGCTCACAACAAACACACGCCGATGCCCGTGACAAATCGCGCCCCCTGTGATGTGTGATCTCACAACAGACACCCGCCGATGACTCGGCCGATGACCGTAACAAATCGTACCCGCTGTGATGTGTGATCTCGCAACATGCACAAGCCGATGCCAGCAACAAATCGTGCCCCATGTGATGTGTGATATTATGTTGATATGCATCATACACACGACGATGACCGTAATAAACCGTACCCCCTGTGTGATCGCAGAACAGACACATGCCGATGCCCGTAACAAACCGATACAAGTGTGATCTCACGACAAACACATGCCGATGCCCGTAACAAATCGGACTGCTGCGGCTGCTGCTGCTGCTGCTACTACTACTACTACTACTACTACTACTACTACTAGCCACCACACCCCCCCCCCCCCCCCGCCCCACACTCTACCGTGTTACATACGCTTGTAACACACATCCGTTTTACGCGGAATTTACAGCACTTTCGGCATGTTGCAACATCTTATGAAGCCTCAAAAATCACCTCCGAGTTTTGAAACTCCGGGATCGTTTTCTGGACTTTTTGTTTTGCGGGGGTGGGAGGGTGCAACACAGTGACTCGAAACAACTCCGAACAATGCAGGTGGGACCCGTCCATTCTTGTTGCTTTTTGCGACCCATTATTGTTTGCTTTCGGGCACGCATTGCTTTTGCTTTTTTCCTCAAGCTAAAACAAACAAAAGCACAAACAATTGGTCGCCAAAAAAATGGGTACCGTTACGCATTGCTGTGTTTTCTTGTTGCATAAGGCAGAAGCACAAGACATGCAAAAACCAATGGATCACAAAAAGCAAAGATAATGGGTGAAAAAACCAAAAAAGTAGGCCGCCCCTGCGGTTTTTACATTATTTTGCATTGTTTGGCGCTTTTCTGGCTCTATTGTTCTTGCATTCTAAATCGCTTTTCTGAGTCCATACCTTTTGCATTCATATCGCATTGGCTGGTAGAAAAATCTTTGATTTCTAGGATAATAGGTTGAGCGCCGGGTTAACTATAAACATATCTATGAAGCATCCGAAACCTAAAGAGTGCAAGAGTTCTGGAAAGGCTTGCGGTGCTCTTGCACGCTAGCTCTGTTTTTGCTTGTTGGATATCTAGGCTTTGCGGCTAGCCCTGGGAGGCCTACAACTCCTGGCCAGAAGCATAGGCAAAATGCAACCCCCCAGACTAGACCTTATGAAAACTTTCGACAGCTCGAGGCTGAGCAACACATTACAGGATTGTAGTGGCTTCAAAAGCCTCCTAAAACATGCATGAAAACAAAACATGTAACGCAAATGTGTACGAGAACGTGTGAGGAAAGTTCCATTCTCTCTCAGAGCTTAGGTTTCATCACCCTTGATTGTAAAAATAAGTACGTTGTAGGAAGTATGACTAAGGCGGGACGGCAGGGCCCGCAGTCTGCCTGCAAGCACGTTTGTGCTATTAGAACACATGAGTAACGCAAGACTGCCACGGTGTGTGCAGGTGTGTCCACATATTTTGTCCGGAATATTTAAGTTCTGATATGCATAGTGCAACGGCTTTGCTATCTCACCAGCAACTGAGATGCCGTTTTTTGAGTCTCTGGAAAAAACCTTAACCCTCGCTGAAGTACTTGGCCGTAGGGCTGTAGCACCGTTCCTGGGAATCCCAGCGCCAGCCGATTGAAACTCCCGGATGGCATCCACAGGATGGACTTCCTCCATCTGGGCATAAGCAGTACTGAGTAGCATTGGCCCGCCAAGAGTGTACTCCAAGCGCACCAACTTCCCAGCTTTTAAAGCATCGACTCGAACTACTTTGCTAGAGAAAGCTTCTCCTCAGGAGAGATATCGAGACGGCACGGCGGCTTGCAGCGACCTGCAATGAAGCATCCGAGGATCTGCAGACGTTAAGATGGCGCTGAAGATAATGCTTTCCAAACGCTCAATGGCATTGCCAATGTTTGCATGCAGATCGTTCTCCTTGTTGGGCACATGCCCCAAAGCCTCAAGGACAGATATTTAAACAACAATTACTTCAGGGCTTGGGTCTCTGTGTCACCTGCCTCGTCGAAGATCTCAGGAGTTACCGCAAGGAGCTGGCGACCCAGCCAGTCCGAAGGAATGCCGGGAGCATGGCTGGTGCTTTCTTTCCAGCGGACCTCATGAAAAAACTGAAACAACGCCAAACAGTAAGACTGAATGCATTCCTTTAGGAACTCCTGCTGCTCCCAGATCGTGCGCGAGGACTTCGGAGACCTTAGAGAATTCGAGAAGTCGGCTCCTGCTGTTTCGACAACTGTAGCATAGTGCCGCAACCAAAAAACTTGGCCCAGTCCGCCAGCCAAGCATGCCAAGCTTGTAGTGTAGTAGAGCAAGAAGAGCCACACGAAAATAGACCCACAGTTGCTCCGCTTTCGGAAGCCACGGCACTCCGTCTCTCACAGTCTCAGGAGCTGTCGGCGGACCGGGCACCTCGCGAAGCTATTTGTTTATGCTTTGCAAAATCATAGCGTCAAAATAACCACAGTGGCTTATAAGACGCGGACAGCGGCAGACGACTTCGGCTTACGCTGACTTCCGGTCTTACCAGCTCGCCTTCGAGTTCGAACGACCTCGCTCGGGACACCATTCGCAGGAGTAGGAATAGGAGCAGGAGTAGGAGTAGGAGCACCAGTACTAGTAGGACTAGTACTGCTAGTAGTACTTTTAGTAGTCGTAGTAGTAGTAGTAGTAGTAGTAGTCGTAGAGGTAGCAGCAGCAGCAGCAGCAGCAGCAGTAGTAGTAATGGTAGTAATGGTAGTCATGGTAGTAATGGTAGTAGTAGTAGTAGTAGTAGTAGTAGTAGTAGTAGTAGTAGTAGTAGTAGTAGTAGTAGTAATGGTAGTAGTAGTAGTAGTAGTAGTAGTAGTAGTAGTAGTAGTAGTAGGTGTAGCAGTAGCAGTAGCAGTAGCAGTAGCAGTAGCAGTAGCAGTAGCAGTAGCAGTAGCAGTAGCAGTAGCAGTAGGAGTAGTAGTAGTAGTAGTAGTAGTAGTAGTAGTAGTAGTAGTAGTAGTAGTAGTAGTAGTACTGGTAGTAGTAGTAGTAGTTTTTTTGCCTCCTGCATGGCTGAATACACGAAGCAGGGATACAAGCCCATAGTTGCGAACTCCAGCTCAGTTCGAGCATCTTGCAGACCAAGTTGCACAGCAGTACAGGTTCGACCCAAGCTTGACTCATGTTGAGTCAGCAAGGATGGGTTTTCGGGCATGTTATTGCAGTGGTTTCAGCAAAATGCCGTGAATTCCCAATTATAAATTATCAATTATCAATTAACGCATGCAGGCACTCAGATTAGCTGGCTCAGCAGTGCAAGAACTTTCCAAATGTCAGTATTGGCAGCAGACGGCCAAGAGATCATCACTCCCATAAAAGCATAAGACACCCATAGGCAGAATCAGACATCGACACGAAGAGATGTAGTAGTAGTAGTAGTAGTAGTAGTAGTAGTAGTAGTAGTAGTAGTAGTAGTCGTCGTAGTAGTAGTAGTAGTAGTAGTAATGGTAGTAGTAGTAGTAGTAGTAGTAGTAGTAGTAGTAGTAGTAGTAGTCGTAGTAGTAGTGGGAGTGGTAGTACTAGTACGAGTACAAGCACCAGAACAAGCACTGGTAGCAGTAGCAGTAGCAGTAGCAGTAGGAGTAGTAGGAGTAGTAGTACTCGTAGCAGCAGCCGCAGAAGCAGTAGTGGTGGAGTGGTCATCGTGGTAGCGGCATTCGTCGTGGCAAAGGTGTAGCAGAAGTCACAGCAGCAGCGGCTGCATAAGCTCAAGGAGAGACAATAGCAGCCGCAGCAGCAGCAGGAGCACCATGAGAAAAAATCGCACTAGGAGGCCGAGGACGAGGAGGAGGAGGAGGAGGAGTGGGACTCGAAGTTGCATTCGCAGGACCAACAGCCGTCACATACCAACTACCTGCATGCCTACTCTGACATTTTAAGTGATTTTGGTTTGAGGATTGCCCTAAGCCGCTTTGGTGACGCCTGTCTCCGCCCTCATCAGTGACAGCACCATTCGTGCCTCGGCGGCAACATGGCAAAAAAAGCAAAGGAAAGGACTTGACTCTTGACAAGTCCACTCGAAGCACGGCAGAACTGGTCCAGATACCCCTCTGTTCTCTCGCCCTCTGGCCAGAAGAAACTCAAGCCTGGCCATGAGCTTGAAAGCCTGCCTCCTGAGAATCACGAACCTAGTCCGGGTCCCTGGGCCTGAATCACGCGTACAGACGCCCTCTGATCCAGGCCTGATGTCGCCTGAAAGAGGCCAGTCCAAACGACCCAAGAAGAGGGGCCTTACATTTTAAAAGGGCTGTCTCAAAGTTTCTGTCGGAGTGCCAGGGACGGCGTCATCTCTGGCCGCAGCGTGACGGCTGCACCTGCACAGGAGGCTTCGTGGGATGACTTTGGACTCTACGAGGTAATGGATCTCGGGAGAAGATCCTTCACTTTCCCGTATCATGAGGTCGCAACGTTCAATCGTAAAACGTCATGGGCGGAACTACATGAAGACTTCTACGCTGGCACGAACCATCAGTTGCAAAACAGAGCCAAGCCAGCACGCTTGCATGTGTCTAACACAAGACGAACCTGGGACAGAGCTCGTGAAATCGAACCGAAAACTGAAAGCTCTTGCCGGTCGGGGCCTTCTTTGTCCTTGAAGTTGTACATCTGCTCTGTGATCTCTTCTCCAGCCTCCGATCTGCGCTGGCATCTACATTCCCAAACCCGATGCCTCTTGCCCAAAAGCAAGCACATGTTGGAGTGAATCATCCCAGACCCCCCCCCCCCGAACTTTTCGGAAGCTCGTTCCCAGAGCTCACGTCCGATAAGAAGCAGAGCCTTGCGCTTGTACAGATCTTCGTTCTCCAGCACTGGCGCCTCATTCGGCGGGCCAGGGATGGGAGCAATAGTAGAGACTTTTTTTTCTTTCGGACGCTGGGAGAGAGTTCACGCTGCGATAAAAGAGGCAGCAGCAAATCGCAGAGACGATGATGATTTTTGTCACCCACCGACGATGATGATGGTGGTGGTGATGATGTATGATGCAGACGGGGACACCAGAAAGTAATGCACATTGAAACATGCTGACATGTTCGAACCTCACTCTCCGAGTTGATAACCAATGCATGCACCCTTTGTCAACGACACGCCTGCTGCCTCGTCTCGATGCCCAAAGAACGGATAAGACACGAGAGCGAGTCGTCATCCAGATCAGCAGCTCTCCGACACCATCACAAAACTTGGTTTGTGATGGTTTGCCTGCAAGTGTTGAATGTCCAGATTAATACGTCAGGCAGCATTCGGTATGTTACACCTCTTTGGGCTTGGGGATTTGAGTTCGATGCGATTCCCGAATAGACTGCTTGTACAAGCACTGGCATGCAAAGGCCAGAGACGATTGAAGAGAACCAGACGCTGCGTCCCACCGGGGAGGCTGCATCATACTCCTCGAAGCCATAGAGGCGCGCTGTCTCCCGGAAGCGGTCGAAAAGCCATCGCTGCACCCGCATGTCCTCAAGTTCACGGGCGCAGGAAAGGAAGAGTGTGAAAATTGGAGTCGGACAGGACATGAGCTCAGGACCGAGGATGAGGTAGTTTGACCTAGGGACCAAGGCCTTCAGACCTGCGGAGCTTCAAGGGTACCTACCACCGCATCATCCGGCACGGCCAGATAATGGCTTGGAGTCCTGTATGAAAACCTCTTGATGTCCACGGGCCTGTGCCTTTAAACCAAGCTGAGAAGCTCAGGCTCACCCTCGAGATTTCTTTGGCGAAATTTGGGGGAGATTCGACGCTCTACCTGAGGCTGTCCTCTGGAAAGAAGTCGCGTGTGCCACTGGGTGGGTCCAGCGAGAAACCGCCAGACTCCTGTCCAACGGGTCCGGAAGGATCAAGAAAGAGAAGCCACGCACATGTGTCTACTTGCGCCACCTTCCTCTACCGCATCTTCTCCATAGGCCGTCGTACATGATACCCCGGCCTGTGGTTCCTCCTTGGCTTTGCTCTTCGCACGGCGCTGCACCTCGGACAAGCTTCGGGGTGCTTTGCCCTTCGCCTCCGAGGCAAAGCAGGGGAGGACCAAGGCTCCATGGGTCCATCAAAGGGTTCCTTCATAGGGCTACTACTACTCTGGCCCTTTTATAGGGTTCCGTACTGGGGCCGAAACTCTCTGCTCTTCCATGTCTGGGACTTCATACCACCGAGACGCTCCAGGCGGGGTATCTGCAAAACTTCGGCTGTAGGGCTGCTCGAACATGCGAGAAACCACCAGGTAGTAATCCGCAGCACTGAGCCAGCAGCCGTGCAGTGCCGACCCACCCACCTGCGAGGCGAACTCCACGGCCGCGTTTCGTGGATTCAAACTCAACTTCGTGCATGCGGTTTAGGGTTTAGGGGCTTGGTCAACAGAGCGCTGACAACCAAGACTTTGACCAGGACGTTCTCGACGATGACTAAGAAGCTGATGACGATAGGGGTGGTGATGACTAGATGATCATCATCATCGTGATCATGGTCATGACTTGCTGCAGGCACAAGTGAAAGAGGCTACGGCGAATCGCTGCGCTTGTTAGCGTTAAGATATCAAGGATGAAAAAATCAAAGGCATGATCATGATACAAGTAACAGACAGAAAAGAAGGCTGGCGAAGCTGAAAACCAATCGTGACGGAGACCGTCATCATCATCGACATCATCACCAACATCATCATCATCATCATCTTCTTCTCGCTTCGCCCAATCACAAATGATTTCCGTGGCAATGGATCCTCATGAAGACGAGGGTGATTATCATGGAGGCGATGAGGGATTGAACATGATCGGAGCACAGCCAGATGCACTACTACATTTGGGGGTTTGGGCACTCATACTCATCTTTGAACTGGTAGCAGACAGATGCATGGGGTAGTGCCTGATACAAGTCTCAGTGTCGCGTCCTTCGTACTGCTCACGCTGGGAAGGTCTGCCGGGATCTGGGCCGCCTTGAGGAACTTGCAGCGATGAGGCCGCCTCTCAGCAGGCACGCGGGAGGGAGGGGTTCGGGGGACTTCAAAAGTCGAGAAGGAGACGCCGACGGAAGCTTGAGACGTGACTTGCCAGTTGCCGCCCTCCCGCCGACGAACGTGTTCCACAAGCCCTCCGAAACTTCAAAAGATCCAGAGTGACCATTTCGCAGTCCGCAAGACTGACAGGAGTCTGGAAGGGAGCTCTGACCTCTCGACCCCGTAAACCCTGTATGCTAGCCCCACAACAGAGCGAATCCGCCGAAAAGAGCCAAATGATGAAACCTGGCCCTTGTCGCAGCGCCTGGCACTGCTGCCGCAAGGACCGCGCTGGACAGAAAAGATCTGCAGACTTGAGATACTGGGAGTCGCGTGTTAAGATCCCTAAAACAAGGAGATTCTTATGACAAGGTTCACGAACCCAGGGTTCATAACCGCATCCAAAATTTTCTGAAACTCCATCTGGAGCTGACGAGCGGGCTCCCAAGCTTCCCCTTGAAGTTCTGGAAAACACGAATGGCAAGTCCCAGCCCGAAGGCGAGGGACGGGGGCTGGCATGTTGCAGGCTATTTCTCGTCTTTCCAAGTGTGCTCTTTGTTGCAACCACTGTTGTTGGCGATCGCAGCTGCTGTAGCCTGCCAGTAGCGTCGAGCTGCGTGTATAGCAACTATGGATAGCGAGAATAAAGATGATGCAACAACATCGCTGGTAAACTCCCCGAAACACCAAAAGCCCCGTCCCTAACCCAAACGGGCTCGTCACCTACGGATTTCCTGACAGCCAGAAGCTGCTAGAGCCGCAAAATAGTTTGAATCGGGTTGGGATATCTTATCGTACAGTCTCGTAGGAACCATGGGAAGCTACTACAAGTAGTACTCATTGTTCCGACCCCGACGGCAGCAGGATCCTAGTCTTCGAAAGATGGATAGTATGCTGAAACCCGGAACTGCCTTATTAAGTTGACAACCCTTGACAGTCTCAAGAGAGGTACCCTGAGGGTTGCACCTGCTCGTTGCCTTTGGGAGGGCCACCTCAGCAGTCGGATTCTCAAAATGAGCTAAGTTTGGTCGTGCGGAAAGATTCCTTCCTCCCCGGCTGGCCGCAGCCCTTTTTGCATCTTGTCCTCATACAAGCCTCATGTGCGGACACCTGAAAAACTAGAGATGTAATACACTCACATTCCGAACTGTTTGTCACACGATAGTATTCTGACAATTACGACTACTCTCGCTCCAATAAAGATGAGCCGTGCAGACGTGATCTTCCCCCGTTGTCCAGACAGACACCCTCTCTCTCTGTCTCTCTCTCTCTCTCTCTCTCTCTCTCTCTCCCTGCCGTTGCATCCAGAGGGTCTGGCAGCGCCAGGCAACGCGTGAGGCTAAAGCCCTTCAGGCCCCTCACGAAAGCGAAATCAGCAAGCCGCCCTTCAAGCAGCAGGCAATGCCGACATATGCCCAGTCACACACCTCTGCCTTCACTTTCACGGCCCACTCACAACTCAAACACGAAACCTCAACAACCACTCCCATTAACAACGATGTTTTTGTGCCCTCAGCTGTTGCACCCAGAGAACTTCTCGTCAGATTCTGGGGGGCCAGACGGAGCGCGAAGATGCGACCACGCGCTGGAAAGCCTGGAAGCTTTAAGTGAGGGTATGCTTACAACTTCACTGTAAGATAAGCTTTATGTCTCATCTTGTAATGCTGCAGAGCTTATCTTAGACTATAAAGTAGTGTGTGTGCGTATATGTCTAGATGTATGTATGTATGCATGCATGTATGTATACAAAGATGCATATCTGCGCTCATACTGTAAATTGTACGAGCTAATTGCGGATTTGCACGCTGGCCGTACACACTATGACCACTGAGACTATACGGGGTTTTCAGAGGGCTCGTTGCCTTGGGCTGTGGAAGGCTTCTTCAACTCAAGCCTTTCACTGACCAACTCGGAACTCCCAGGAAAGATTGTGGTCGTCTTCAGTGCGACGCCGCAGCGGCTTCGCAATTCTCACGCCCCCAAGCCCCCAAGCTTCACGCCTGCCGCCCTGCACGCGGAGCGCGAGCTGACCGCGCAACTGCGAAGAGAAGCGCAAGGCTGTTGGGAGCCACAGGTGCGTTTAGCTCGCGAAGAAATCCGTTCGGCAAAATCTTACCAAGAGTAGAAATCAGCATCTCGCTGAACGTTCACATGCAGGGTGTAACTTACTGCTGTGGTCACGATTAATGATGAATGCGCCGATGATGGCGATGGTGCCACCTGGCATACAAACAGTTCAAGGAATGCGAAGTCCAGTGTCAGCAGTTCCATACTCCGACATCACGCAACGGACAGGTGTTCAAAGCCACAACACTGGAACTGGCTTTATTGCTTCTGCTGGATTTGCACCGCAAGCGGCTGCAATTCAGCTATGCCAACAATAGTTCGAAATCGTAAGGAGCATGAGCTCGACCGTCGTAACGGCAATGCTGAGTGGAAATTACAGAAGTGTGCAGGGCCTACCCCTCATGGCTTGCTCTGGATTGGCCAAAAACCAGCAAACCTGAATCATACAGGAGAAGTCTGGGGTGGGGGAATGGCATGGGGACACAAGCTCCTCCACGGAAACTTCCAACAGCCGCATCACTACCCACTACACATCATTGGTCATGCACACCAACAACACAGTTCCACCACTGCCACCACCACCACCACCACCATCATCACCATGGTCCGCGTCGGGGCGGCAGATGCCTGGGAGCGCCATGGTCGTGCTCACGAAAGCGCTGGCCTCAAGAGCAAAAGGGGCACACCTCAAGCTACTCCCAATTCCTGCACCTGGGACTGCTGGGACTGCACAGTATTCTCACTCTTCTAGACATGACTGGAACTTGAAGGCCATCGCCCCTAGTACCCAGGCAGAGGGCCTCACTGCAAGTCCCAAACCACAGCCTCCGAAACTCCAAGGATCTGGCCTGTGAGCTGCCGCGCTGCCTCTGCACTGAAGGCTGTGACTGTTTGCGCAGTTTACGCTCTCACAACTCGAGGAATCCGTGCCGTCCGAGTTGTGAGAGCGAAAACAATCACACAGGGCAATTCTGAGAGATAGCTGAAACAATAGAAACTGCTTATTTAATTCATGTCCATAAAACTTAGATTCATAAATCTGTGCATGTTAGCACACCTGGAATTGCACGAGTGAAGCTTACTCCAAGACCTTGCTTCTGCCAGTTGCTGCAGAGCGCTAGCCAGTGGAAGCCATGCGAAACTGCTCACATGATGAGTCAATACGAGATCCTCAATGATCTGAAAAGCAGTCATGCGTCAGATTAGTTCTTGGCAGAAGCCAATCCCCCAACCAGCGAAGACCTTGGGCGATGGACACTCATGCCTCGCCACACGCAGCAGGGCCACGACGGCGAGTGCTGCAGCACCGCGTGCAAGACGTCTGAAAGCCATCGGGGACGAGTCTCTGCGGCGTTTAGATTGGTGCATGTTCTGCTGGATTGCCCGTGGTGTGGCCTTGGGTTTCTTCATAGTTTCGCGGGCGAGTCAATTAGAAAATGCCGGACATCTTGTCGCGGCGCTAAATCGGTAGAGCGGTAAGAGCAGGGGCTCCTGAAAATTAGCGGTCGCCGATCGCTGCTGGGCATCTTTACCCTGTAGCTTTGAGTAGCGGCTTAGCTATACACGGTTCATCGGCCAAAATTCTCCATGCCTTCTTCTTCTCTCCTGGAAGCCGCAATGGCTGTCAAAATCACCACTGGCGGCCAAAGCCACAAACATCCACAAGCTATAAATGGGCCTTTGTCAGGTTTGAAGTTTGAAGCATCCAAGAAGCTCAGGGCACTCAACAGACTGCTGCTGAGCATCCATGTTGGGGGCAGCAGCACTCGATCTTTTCGACGCTGCACTCGCGGCTAGCTCCGTCGCAGGCGCGGGTCCAGAATCACAGGAGGGTGAACATCTGCTGGCCTGCGTCTCTGATCCGTGCGGAGCCAAGCAAGGATGTCTCAAAGATGCGGTTCGAGCAAGCGGTTGCAAGCCACGCATTCTGTTCCTTCTTTCCAAGATTTTCCAAGAATCCCCCAATGCTTACCGAGTGTTTGTCACCACCTCGTCTAGCTTGCCAGTGCAGGTTTGTGAATCAGTCAGTTCCGGGATGCCCGAGCAAGGCCCAGGGAGTTCTTACCAGCTCATCTGCACGTCGGCGCTTCGCCAAGGGAAATCCAGAACCCAGGCAGAAAGCCAAAGCAGAAATGCCGGAAGTCCCAGCATGAAGGCTTGCAAGGTCTGTGGCCGAAGCTGGGGCTGGGGTGATAGGGAAGCCAGCCCCAGTTAACTTCATTCAAAAAGCCCTGCGTTCTGGTTCCAAATCTTCTCGGCACAAGTGTATGTGGCGATACCCTTGCAAGGATTCCGCTAACCCGGATGACCTATAGTGGATGCAGACAGACATAAAAAAATTTTTATATCTGTCTTCATTCCGCGTACAGAGGTCGCGTTTAGCACGTGACCCCATGTAACGCATCATGTGCGCAGCCATTTATGTGGCCAAGCCCTGAATGAGTTCTGTGAACGAAAGCTCGGATTCGTTGATGGCCACGTGGATGTAAAAGCTGCGTGTTGTGATCGGCTTGAGTACCTTATCAAAAGTAGTGCAGTGCAGACTTCAAGTTACTCGCCAAAAAATGTCTGGCGGTTCTGGGACTAGCCCATTTGTGGCGCATTCATCTGCTGGGGGTTTGGCAGGTGGAGGTGATCCTGGTTTCGCTAGAGCTCCATCCTTCACAACTGCAAGTGGTTTGGTCAGAGGAAGGACCTCTGGTCACGAACAAGACGGTGAGCTCAGAGAACGTTCGGCTTTCACCGCAGCGGGCAGGCCTAGACAACCACAGGCATTGCCGTCAGATAGTCCATCAGTTACAGAGTTGTTGATGGAACAGAATCGCCTGTTGATGCAACAATTGCAGGCCTTACAGACTCAGGTCAGTGGACAACAAGTGGCGAAAGAGGATCATACACACTCGTCACATGAATTCCATGAGCCGAAGCAGCTCCTGGAGGGCATAGACCCGGGCTTGAAGAAGGTTTTCGAGGACTTCGCCAAAGAAACAGAACATCTGTTTGCAGCATGGGCCACGCAGAGGACTTTGACGGAGAAGTATTCGGCTTTACAATCAGACAACAAGTTGCACCCGCATTTCCAAGCGGAAGCTAGCTTCAAGTGGCAGTTTACCAAGCTGTATGCTTCACATGCCAAGCCGGTGGATTGTGAGGAGCAAATGGCGGATGATGATTACGAGCTTTCAGTTGCTTGGGCGGAGCTCAGGAAGAAGCATGCCAACGAGTGCTTCCAGTTCGTATGTCAACATCAAGAGCGCTGTCTGCAAGTATACGACAATGCAGTGTCACAGACAAGCTTGCAGTTGCAGCTGAGCGATAAAGTTGAAGCATGGTTTGCGGAGCATGAGTTTAGCGATGCAAACATCAAGCGCGTCATGTTGCAGAAGGCTGTATCTTATGTGGAAAGTCTGATCAGGTTGAAGAGGCCTTCTATTCAAGCCAGGATGAACAAAGACAAACAAATAAAGCAGAAACGGGAGCAAGCTTTGACAGATGCTATGACAAAGTTTGAAAGCATGGACGTTAAGGATGTTTTATCACCGGCTTTGTTTGAACTTGCAAAGCTTGGAGGATCAAGGAAAAAGCCTGTCACTTTGAAGGATGATAGTGCCCTCGCGTTCTTGGTGAAAGACAATCCGGAGTTGCGGGAGAAGCATGGATTGAAAATTGTGTCAGCTTCGGCAGCTCGTCGGAGAACTCCGACGCCCAAGCGAAGACCGCAAAAGCCATCACGATCCCCGGGGAGATCCAATTCAGCTTCAAGAAAGCGTCAATCTATTCTCAAAGATCCGCACAAGCAAGTGAGATTCACCGAGAATGACAAGGGCAAGGGAAAAGGAAAAGACAAGGGCAAAGATGGCAAAGGCAAGGGCAAGTCGAAAGGAAAATAGCACATCGCAGCAGGGGTCGAGGTTTCTGGACGGATGCAGAAAAGTGCAGTATTGATTTCTTTAAGTTCTGTGTCGCGCAAACGTTGCGCAAAGAATTCAGATCATTGCTGCAGAAACCTGTGTTCAAAGGCGTCCACAACTTGGTCCCTGCAGATGTGCTTGAGGTTCCACAGTATGTTTTGCTACACTTGGCGAAGGGTGGGAAGTTCATTCCGTCTTATCGTGGTTCATCCCATCCAGCCGCAAATTCAGAACTCGACAGATTGCACAGACGTCTGTTGTTATGCAAGTTTTTCCCAGATGACAACCGAAGTATGACGAGGTGTCGTTTGAGGAGCTCCTGGCAGCCACCTTCTGACAGTAATGTTGACATTTTCATGAGGTTGCTGAAGCGGGAGTTTGCAAGTTATGAGTTCCAGACTGCGCGAGCTAATTGGTCTTGGCTTGATAGGAAAGCTTTGGCATGGCTTGCGCAACACCGTGATAGCATTGCAGTCGTGGACTGCGACAAGGGACTTGGAGATGCGCTTGTGTCGAGGGCATGGATTCGTCAGCAAGTTTATTCCCAACTTTCTCAGGGGTTTGTACAGATATCGGATTACGATTTTCAGACCAGGATGGACGGCTGCAAACAACATGCAGATGCATTGGTGCAGTTTTTTCGTTCGTCAGGCACGCTTTCCGATGGCATTAGTCGGTTTTTACTCGGCACACTACATGAAAAACGCGCAGGTACCTTCAGAATTCTTGTCAAAGTCCACAAGATCCCAACCGCATCTAGACCTATATGCAATTTGCGAGGTGTTTGGATGGCTCCGTTTGCAACTTTTTTGGTGGAACAACTAAACCCGCTGCTGAGTAAGCTGCAATCTGTTGTGGTTTCCACCGACCAGTTGCTTGAAGAGTTGAGCACCGTGCAGTGTAGGCCTGGAATGAAGTTTCTCACATTCGACGTTGTGAACTTGTATCCGTCAGTGGATCGATGCCATTTCCTGTCGGTCATCAGCGGTTTTCTGCGGACGAGGATGCCAAATCATTCTTTGTGCACTTTCGTGATTCGTGCCCTGGAGTTGATATTGAGCGCATGCTTCGTTACGTTCGAAGGCTGCAAATATGAAAGTACAGACGGCATTCCGACTGGGCTAGCGGTTGCTAGCATCGTTGCAAACATTTATCTCTGGCATTTGGATTGCTTCATTGCTGAGCAAGCGGGTGAGCTCTTGCAGTTCATTCGCAGATATGTTGACGATTTGCTTCTGTTATGTCGCGGTTCTCATCAATGGCTTGGTGAAATTTTGCATCGATGGCACCCTTCCCTGAAGTTTGAGCTGTCAGGAAGTATGGAGGCTAGTCGGCAAGTTCAATATTTGGATGTGAATCTGGGCATACAGGATGATAGAAGTGTGACGTGGAGTCTGTTTAACAAGCCACAAAATCTTCACTTGTACATTCCTGCTTGTAGCAATCATCCTCCAGCTGCGTTTAAATCCTTGCAAATTGGAGGATTCATACGTTGTCAGCGTCGCAATCGGCTCAGCGCTGATGCGGAGCGAAGTCTGACAGAGTTCAAACGCAATCTCAAACAAAGAGGCTACAGCCTCGCTGCTTTTGACAAGTTAGTGCGTAGTTACAAGCTCAAAGGAGCTGGCAATGGGAATATGTCTTCCAAGACTCGCAAAGTGTTTGTGAAAGTATCTTTCAACAAAGGGACTCAAGCCTCATGGCTGAGAGCAAAGCTCTGTAAATACGCTTCCTTGTTGAAGAATTCTGTTCCACATGTTCACTTGGGTCTCTGTTGGACCGTTGGGAAAAACATGTTCCAGCGGCGCTACGGAGACACATGGCGATGTTTTGGTCAAAGGGTCGGTTGAGGGTGGGACCAAAAAATTTTTTATGTCTGTCTTCATTCCGCGTACAGAGGTCGCGTTTAGCACGTGACCCCATGTAACGCATCATGTGCGCAGCCATTTATGTGGCCAAGCCCTGAATGAGTTCTGTGAACGAAAGCTCGGATTCGTTGATGGCCACGTGGATGTAAAAGCTGCGTGTTGTGATCGGCTTGAGTACCTTATCAAAAGTAGTGAAATTGAAGATCCCCCTCCCTTCTTGGCCTTCTCACGACTCCGGGGCTTCCTGGCTGGCGCCTTCCTCGACCGCTTCCTCCGCCCCTTCCTCGCCCTCAGGGCTCCGGCGGCCGCGCGCCTGGCTCTCCAGGCCAAAAACATCGTATACTCGTACGGGCCAGTTCCAGGGCTGGGCGCACAGTATCTCACTGAAGCAAAGCTCTCAAGCTTTTGTCTTCATCATCAAGGCTTCAGCATGGAGGGCCACGAAAGCAACACAAGCGTCTCTACTCCCGCGACTGTCCCATCGTCAAGCGCATCGACCCGTCAAAGCTACCTGGCATCTGCCGGATACACACCAGGCCCTGCCTTGTAGGTCATCAGAGTGTGGAATGCAGGCCTGGGTGCAAAACCCCTGCAAACCCGGAGCGGTGTGTCCCTACTCAGGGAACTCTCCACTCTGCGACCTCTCGCCATCTCTCGCCTATCTGAAAGCCGCGGAGCAACGGCAGTTACCATATGACTGGAGGCAATCATTGCTGCAAAGCCGCGTGAGGTCGGCACTGAACTGATCCATGGGACCCTGGCCGTAGACATCCTCGACACATGGCACTGGATGGTGTATTGCCAACATCTCTTCTTCTTTGCCAAAGCAAAGTTTCAGTTTTGAATACCCAAAAGCAAGGATGTGACTGTACCACTCCGAACTCTGAAGAAAGGCCAGCAACATTCCTTTCACGTGGCATACCTTCGTTCGTGTAAACTCTGCCACGTGCAGCTCCCAGCTGCTTTCACAGACCCTACGGAAACCTTTGCACAAAAGGCTGCAGGCCCAGCGACGCCGATGATCAGTCGGGCCTGCTTTGCGACCTGCACACTTCTGTAATCTTCTGTAGTCAGTCGAGGAGCTGATCACTTACGACATGCACGAAAATAAAAACCTCTTTCTCAACCAGCGCTCTCGCAGTTCTTGGGTTTGGGATTTGACTCAATCTATCAACCCTAGGAAGCACTTCGACGAGAATCCAACTCAGCATCGGCTTGTACCTTAGCGGCTCACTGTCCTCCCTTGCTCTGCAACTGTGCAGCTAAAGAGGGACTCATGCCTTTCGCACATGCACCTTGCCTCTCGTATGCGGTCCATGGTCTCGTAACGCGCATTGTCGTCTGGACCTGTCCGGGGACACAATCGCGAGGTCCTCCTGCACCCCAACCGGCAGGCAACGATGCACCACTTGATGGCATGAACATCATGACAAGCACAGGATGAAAGAGGAGAGTTAGCTGTGCAAGACAGTGACCACTCTTTGCAGTATGACAGCAAGAACGTTTTGACTGACCACCCTACATGCGTTCCTGTCACGGTCCGAAATGCACTCTGCCCTTCCACAGAGACTCCGTGCTTGTGCCTAGAACTGCCACCATCTGGCGGTCCACATCCTGCCAAATGCTCATGGGGTTGGAAAGCAGGTCAAGCCGGCAACCTATGTTCCTGCAGACGTTGGGACGTGAGTTCAACCCTGACGCGTGTGAAATTTGGCCAAGTTGGCCCGTTTGCATGAGATGCACATTCTTTCTTATCTTGCTGCGGCTGCTGCTGTTTGAACCCCTTCGTGAAGGGAGGATTTTGCCCGGCCCCCGCAACAACTAATCCACAGCGCATGCTTTTGCCTCTGGCATGAGCGTTGGATCTGTGTCAGTGCGTGGGCTTTAAGGGGTGCTTCGGCTTGCTGTGGGCTCCTGTTTCCTTCCATGGCGAAGCGAGGATGGAGACAGGAGGCTGCAACAAGCTCTACGAATTCTAACAGGTCTTTGCGCCATGTACTGGCCCGCATTCCAGCATGACTTAGCTGCTAAGAAAAGATCACCCCAATAATGTATATATCTTTCAATCTGTGATCTGTGAGGTGTGAGCCTCACATGAGCCTTCTGAACCTCTCTCACTGCCTGTTGACGCACCGATGTCCTGTTACCACAATCTGCATCCTCACAAACCCCGAACCCTGAAACCAAAACCCAACGGCACAAGCGTCACGGCACCCATCCCCAAGCCACAAGAATCCGCAATTCCCTCGAGAGCCGAAGCAGCCTTCACGAGGCTCTCTATGGCAGGAGCAAGCCGCTCCCAGGGTACCTTCTTGGAGGGCTTTGGCAACTGTTCCAGAAAACACTTCCTTCAACAACCAGTAGCAGTAATAACAACAATAATGGCACCATAAAGACTGAATACAGGTTACCATAGGCACGGAAAGGATTACTGTATTTATGGTCTTCGCACATCACAACTTGCCGTGATCTAAATTAGCTGATGCAACCTTGATTTTCGAAGCTTGTGGGACACGGTTTTCCCTGCAACCTCGTTGCTGGTTGAACAGTCATAACTGGGTCATCACGGTCATAAGTTTCTTATCCCAGGCCCCAAACCCTCAACCCGCCGCCCTGCGGCTAAGGCTGCCGCCAAGGCAGCCGAGGCACCTGTGCAGCCATGAGCTGTCCGCCGCTGCCATCCAGGTCCGGCGCGCCTGGAGACAAAAATCCAATCCTGTAAGATCAAGAACAGTCATCAAGCGAGCATGGCACAAATGCAGGAAGGTAATTCACGCGCAGGGCGCGGGTCGGAATGACCGTGCCATGGTGTACACCGTCCCTCTGTCTCATGTAAGCAAGTTTACACACATACACACTTGCAAACTCCGTGTTGGGAGTAGCTAGCTTGTTACTTCAGGGATCTATAGGGGTTCTTGGCTTAGCCCCTTGCCATCATCATTTGCAGGTGCGTCAGTCCAGCGTCCCGGACTGATTTCAGTGCCTAGTCAGAGCCTCTTCGTTGGGCAATCACTCTGACTGGGCAGATTGCCCCCCTGCTTTTTTGACTGAGAAGCGCCCTTTGCTATCAGGGATTCACACACACAGCTACTCCTCTTGTGAGGAGTAGCATGGAAGTCGTCGTCTGAGGGTCACCATGACGTTTCGCAGGTCAACGCCGCAGCCACGTCATGGTGCCCTTAAAGAACGAGTCGTCTGGGGTAAGGGTCCTGCCCCATTGAGGCTTGGGTCCTGGCCTCTGGCATTGCGTCGTCTGGGGCGAGGGTCTTGCCCCACTGAGGCTTGGGTCCTGGCCTCATGCGATCACTAAAGCATTCAAGAAGTCATTCAAGAAGTCAATCAAGAAGTGAATCAAGTTGAAAGTCAGGAAATCATTCAAGTGATCTGCAGACACAATCAGATGGCTGCGGATCAAGAAAGGCATTCAATGTCTGGAACTGTACATTCAAGACGTCAAGCAGTTGCTACGCCCGGCCCTTTGACAGAATGCCGGTCGGAAACACACTTGCAAACTCCGTGTTGGGAGTAGCTAGCTTGTTACTTCAGGGATCTATAGGGGTTCTTGGCTTAGCCCCTTGCCATCATCATTTGCAGGTACGTCAGTCCAGCGTCCCGGACTGATTTCAGTGCCTAGTCAGAGCCTCTTCGTTGGGCAATCACTCTGACTGGGCAGATTGCCCCCCTGCTTTTTTGACTGAGAAGCGCCCTTTGCTATCAGGGATTCACACACACACACAGACAGAGCTTCGCATGTTCTACAATTTGGGGGTCGAAAGTTCTCTGGCTGCTGGATCGAGGCACCTGCAATCTCCACAGGCGTAAGCTGATCTTTTAGGATGTTGTTCCTCAGCTTGGCGCAGGGCATGGACTTCGTGGTTTCAGTGCGAACGGCACATTTGCTCTCGTTAATGCCCCACCATAAACCTCTCAGGTTTTCTTGCTTCATCTAGGTGAGTTTAGATTAGCCGTGCGGCGGCGCCGGGTTTTTGCCAAAGCTACACGTTTTCAGTGCCAAGGCTCCGGATGTTCTCGTCTTCGATCCTAAGGAGCTTGTTGAGCATGGCCTTGACCCTGGAAGCCTTCTTCTCCAGCTCCTGATGGGCTGTGCATTGTAAACGTAAAGCATAATGTCCAGAGGAACCTTTCCGATATACACTGATGTACCGCGGCGAAATCGGGTTGATGTCCTCGTGGTAGGGGGATAGAAGATGCGAGTAGCAGTGGGATGGCCGGCACTTGTTGAAATGCCACGGTCCTCCTGCATGACCGTGCTGATGTGCATCATGACACGAAGCTTGTCGCCATCACCCTGCTGCTGGGCCTGCGTGTTGTAGAACAGGGCAGGATTAGCCTATCAAGCAAACAGCCAAATCGCAGGATGCCTTCATATGCCTTGTGTAAACCATGCTCATGCCTCGCTCTTGTGAGCTTTCGGCAGGTCTGACTGAGCATCGCGTCAGAAGAATACTACCCTTTTTGATAATTAGAAACAAATCAGCGCACAGCCTCAGAGATGACATATCCTTAGCTGGCCTCTGCAATGTTGAGCTGCAGAACCATGAGGAGCGGCAACGGGCTCCTTGGTCACATCCCGCCCATCTCAATGCTCATGGACGTCCTCTCGCCATTGAAAATGCCGAAAGTCACACAGTCTCTGCGAGGCAGGTCGCACAAGCCCCAATTCTACAAGTACTTGACTTAAGATTCTCGTTTGGCACTCGCTCCTACATCCTCCTGCTCGGAAGCATGCAGTTTTCAATGAACTTTCCCAAATTCCCAGTGGTCGAGAAAGCCCAGGCACTCCACCTTCCTGAGCGTCTTGCGGATGAGGACGTTCACCTCAGCATGTGGTTCACCGGCGCCGTTTGTTCAAGATTCCGCACAAAGTTTGGACTGGTGTTGCCTGGACTGAAAGATGTTGTACAGTGATGTGCGGAGAACACTCATTCTGAGGTCGTCTACTCTACGGTTCTGATTCGGTTATCTTTTCACGGACCCGCAATGTGACACTGATTGCCCTGAACTTGGTCCTCCAAATCCCATGTAGGGCCACACTTCTGCGGCTGGGCCGCGTCTCCATCTGCATTGCTGATCATATCTTCCTTGGCTGAGACTGGCTTGCACACTGAGACCTCAACTACCGCAACTGTCACTACAGTCCTTAATGATTTATCCCGACCGCATAGTCGCGATTTTGGCCCAAACACATTCCTACAACACGACATTCAAACCAAGCCGAACAAGCAAAGTACAACAACGCGCATGAACGAGTAACCGGTATGGAACGGACTTTCACAAGCCAAACACCGCAGAAGGCTGCCGTTTCAGGAGGACCCGAGTCTTGCCAAGATCGAGGCGAGGCTCAAGGACCACCTTGGCTGATGCCAGCCTCTTCTCCATGGCCACCTCCAAGAGAGAAACTACAGAGAACACATACGACATACAGTACTTGTTACCTGGGACTGGACTGAGAAGTGGGGGAAGCTTGGAATGTCGAATTCCGTGCCAAGCTTTCGCTTTCGGGTTTATATAGATGGCTTCTGACACCCACAAGTCGGCTCTCGGATGCAGTCAGTTGATCAGGGATTAGGGATTCGGGAATAAGGAAATTTGCGCCCAGGCTTTGCAGCGTTCAACCGCGGAATATTCACACTGTGGACAAGACTGCTACTCGGCAGCAGAGGCTTCCGGGTCCACTATCAAGACACTGACGTACGGGAAGTTCTGTGGCGACGGACCCGACTTGGAGGTACTTGCCGATGTGGCTTCGTTTGGGCGCACCGTTCAACTTTGACATTTCTGTCGGTGTTGCGGACCTTTGTCCTTCATTTCGTGCACACGACAACTCCCTGAATTTCCCCAGATGTGTCTTCTGGCGTTTGTAGAGTGGATTCTTGAGCAGGTCTCCTACGGGTTCAGCTCACAATCCTCGGGCATCCTCGAAGGTCTTCGCGGATAGATCCTCGAAAGCTCGCTTGAAGCCGCGCGGTGTCGAGGCTTTTCGTTTGCACAGTGTCCCAGAAGTCGAAGTTGTCCAAAGCTTTGCGCTGGCGGTTGAGAAGAGCAGCGACTGCTTTGCAATAGGCAGCTGCGGGACCGAAGCATCAGTCACGGCTTTTGACGTCCTTGAGTTCCGCTTCACAGTTGGGCTCCCGGCAATTCGTGCACCATTTTGACTTCCCCACGAGAATAGACCGGATACCATCGAAGCCACACGCGATGTCCCAAGACCTAAGACCCCACCCATCCCTACGCCTACCGCATGGGCCGCAGTAGCTCGGGAAGCCTGGATGGCGGCTCCTACACGCTGTGCAGCATCATGGTCCGCATCTTGAGGATCCGAGACCTCCAAGCTGTGCACTCTTCGCCCCACTCAATCCAAGTAGGGCTGAGGGAGTGGAAGTCCGGACTGGAAGAGTGCCGATGATATCCATGCAGCTCTCAGACATTAAGCGAACAGACGTACCCCTTCTCGTCTCTGGCAGTCAACGAATTCTTGGAATGTCACACAGACATCATCCAAAACATTCCTGCACACAGCGCAATACATAGCTCTGGAGTCCATAGAGCAACAAAGGCCGAATACAAGGGCTGCATCTGGCCTTGGCCCGCAGCGTCGACAAGTCATCTGGCGACACCTGCGCAAACACCTCCTGCAACGGACCGTGGCAAGACTCGCGCAAAACAAACTTGACCATTGATACACCATGCCATGATCGGGGTCGGTGAGAAGGGTGGGCAAGGGATCAACATTTCTGCCACGGCAACTGCAAGGTTCAAGTTTCTATTTCAACTCCATGCAAAGCTATCACGGTTGAGGTTTCGATGTTCCCATCCTTCGTGGGGACAGATTTATCTACTGAGCTCCACCCGTTACAACTCTCCCACGCTCCCCCCGAAAGCCATCTCCTCGATGCGCTCCTGCAGGGCATCGCCTCGACAAAGGCAAGGATACCCAAAGTGAACTAATATAGGGGCCTGAATAATTAGAATAGGGTTTTGGGGCTCTTTATACTATAATTATAATAAGGACCCAGAATAGTATCGTTAATTTATATTTAAGCCTTTTAGTAGCGTTCGGTTTGTGGCTTTGGGGGTTCAATCTTTTCCGTGGGGAGGGTAGTGACAGAGGGTCGTGACACTGCAATAAAGGATATGCTCGAAAGCACAGCATGAACCTTGCAGGGAGTTTCGTTGTGAAGCAGACGTCTCATCGGGAACTACAGTGCCCGGCGTCGGGTCCCAACATCAGGGCTGGAACGCAAGCAGTTCTCGCTACAGACTTAAGGTTTTGGTGTTCGGGGGTTGCACGCTCCAGAGTCCTCCGACGAAAGAGCCAAGCCGCGAAGGGCAGGTTTGGCCCGGCACCCTTCATGGGTGGTATGAATCAGGGCCGATTTTGGCGAATATTAATTATAGTAAAAGTTAGATGTGTATTTACCGGAGCATCACATGTTGGTGCTCTTATGGTCGTAGTTACACTTTCCCGTGAGCTAGATCAAGACCCCTTAAATGAAGCCGCAACAAATCCGCACAAACCCTCACCTCAGACTGGGACGTCACCACCGGAGCACAGAAAGCGTATTCCCAAGAACTTTCCCGACAAGAACTCGCGTGCCATGGCACCTTGGCCAGCAGCACCCATCTCCAACAACTCTGGTAGGAGGCTGGGGGGCTCCTGTTGCGGATGCCGCGGCTTGTCGCCATCTCTGGGCTGTGGGGCACGGCTCGACGGTCCAACTGATAATTTGTGCTCAAACTGCACATTTTTCGGCAGAGGCCTTTCTGGAGGGCCTGGTTTGGTGCAGGGTTTGATTCTGCTCTGCGACTGCGCACGATTCCACCATGCTTTCAAAAGAAGACGTACTGCCAGTCCACACCTTTAAGCTGCTGCGAAAGGCAAGACGACGCTGATACTGTGCTCAACCTATTCGAGTTTGGGGTGCACGGAACCAAGGTGGCTGGGGCTCCTCCAGCACAGGTGCTTCGGACGGCGCGGCACCTGCAAGAGCTGCAATGGACGAATGATGAAATGATGACAAATGGATACCCGTGGCGGCAGCAGCAGTACCACGATGATGATGACCACCACTGCTGCCACAGCTGCTGCAGCCCCTACTTGGCGAACATCCTGTCTCCAAACCCTTCTCTTCCCCCCTCCGGCATAGTGCGGTCCGCTTGGGCGCTGCAGGCTGAAGAAAGGTTGGCGCTGCCCACAAGGCAGCAGCGACCTTACCCGAAAAGCTTCCAGATTCTAGAGTTAGGTCCGCTCGGGGTATCGAATGCTGAACTTAGGTCTCCTGTGATTTCAGACTGGTCGTGTTCCTGAATACAGGCTTCCCTGCGAAATGCCAGACCTCGGAAATGCTGAAGCATCGGCTATCGGATCAAGACCGACGCACCGGAACTAGCACTGTCGCCCCAGCACACACCGCCGAGTGGCCACTGCCAAGCGTAGCGAGACCGTCGGTGAGCGAGGCGGCATGGTCGCAACGATTCCGAACAGGCGAAGCAGGCAAAGACTGAAGGGCGTGCTCACATTTCTAGAGGTTCTCTGGGTGTGGTGGATGGGCTTAGGGTCTAGGGCTTAGGGGAGGGTGGATAGCTGGGCATGGGCTCTTCAGGTACTCGCTTTGGGGCGGGGGGCTTCATGTAGCGTCACGTAAATTGTGCCGAAAAGCCTGTCCCAGGTCTTCGATTGCGGCGTTGAACCTGTTCCCTGGCTCTGACATGGAGTCCACCCGGTCCTTTTCCCGGCTGAGCATCTTCGAGGATTCTGAACGGCGCCGAACCGGGGCATGGGGTCTTCACGGTGTAGTGTAGGGCTCAATGTCTCGATTCTGTCTGACATTGCCACGCAGCGCTATTGGCAGGATGAAGGCCCTCTGCTAAGCTCGGCTCTTCTTGCACCCAGGGGAGGAAAGCCAGATCAAGTCGGGCTCTCTGTCAGCGGCTGTCGCTAAACGCGATTCGGGCCGGGAGTGGGGGAGCTTCCCTCCCAGGGAGCTGGAACAAAACTGCACAAACACCCGAGAGCGGAGGAGAGGGAGCGAGACAGAGGGAGAGCGAGAGAGAGAGAGAGAGAGAGATGTATAATGACATGTATATGGAAGATAGACGGATACATGAGAAATTGTACATACACGCACAAGTGGACCAGAATAGAGGCAATCCCTACTCTTCTCACACACCTCAGGTGTCAGGCGTCCGCCGTGACCCTGGCAGGTTTGCAGTCCACGGGAATGCAGTCCCTAGCATGCTCGCACATCCTTTGCCCTACATGCTTCCACGAAAGCCACGTGAACCCCAAGCCTGTGACGCAAAACCCCAGATGCCCCAGACCCAAGGAGCTGAAGAAAGCCAAAAGACCCTATGGATCGCTGCCCAATTAGTAGCTGTTTTTAATTAGACTAGGGTTCGTGGGTATGTTATACTATAACTAACTATAATCAGGAACCCCCAAAACCCTGTTCTAATTATTAAGGTCCCTACGCCCGAACCACCGAGAGGCATCGCGGGCCTGGTCTTCCTTGGGCCTGCAGGGCCTCGGATCCAGGGTAGAGGACGAACTCCAGGCTTCCCCGTGTCACTCCAAAAAATGCAATGGCCCTGTTAATGAGTTAGGCTCTAGAAGATACTAGAACTATATGATATGAGGATCTGAAATAGGGGCCTGGGAACTAGCAACATAGGTCGTGAGGCCTAGTGTGATTGGCGCATCAGCGAAGAATCCATCAGGTGCGCTACACCGGTCCGCCATGGTCCGCCCTTCCACGTATGCGGCAGGAATACTAGGCATGGGCAGATGAAAGCCTCGAGCTTTGATTCCAGGTTCTCCGCTTAGGGTCCGACGACGTGGCTTGTGCTCTTGAGCAGTTATTTCGCCGATGACCTGCTCGAACTGAGCCATCTCGGCCTCGACAGGAGCTTTATTTGAAGCTATGGACTTGTTACATGTCAGCACACACACACACACACACACACACACACACTTACTTTGGGATCTCAATTCTAAGGAAAGTAAATTGCGGAGCTCGTGACCTTGCTGAAACACGAGAAAAACGCTTGACCGAGACTTCGCAGGATCAGTCGCGGAGTCGCTACTTGGCTTGTGCCTTGTACCTCTTGATCTTCCTCTTGGCTTCGTCGTCGGCGCTCGCGGCACTCGCAAACTGCATGGCTGTGTTCTTGTGGCAGACCTCCGCCGACAGCCGAGCATCACGACTCGTAAACTGACACCCTCAGCTCCAAAGCCATGTCTTGTTCAGAACGGGCTTGACGCTTAGGGGCAACACCCTTCTCCGAAAAGAGCTTGCAGTCCTTGCACCTGTGAGCCCGGAGACCCCTGAGTAGGTATCACCGAAAAACCACAACAGCACCACAACCACTGCTGTGGATCTCCTCCAGAAACGAAGGCTGAGCAACAGCAAGGATCCTTAAAGGACAGCTAAGCAAAGGCAAGATGGTAAGCACCCATCTCTAATAACTCTAGGCTCCCCCCCCCCCCCGCCGCCCGCTCTGTTCTTCGGACTTGTCCCGATTCGGGGCTCATTGTGCCCATGCACCATCTGCGAAGCAATGCGTCTTTGACAGATTGCACAGGTCCGGCATGTGGCAGACGGTGGCATGCCGGAACTACATAAGGTAAATGAAAGATACATGCTCAGTTCTGCCGTAGCAAAATCAGCCATTCCACACGAAGAGCCGCGACATCATCAGAGCAGCGCCGACAGCCGAGGCGCGACCAGCATTGCTAGCGGGAGTGGTGCTCGTGTCATTACCGGCGTCCGTGTCCGGGCCATCCAAAGCCCAACAGGCCATCTTGGTGCATCCCAGGCCCCAGCTTTTGCACATACAGCTGTTGCACCAATTGTCGCCAGTGTCTTCTCCATGCCAGCCAACACTCACGACCTCACCGCCTGTCAATGTGCAATTATCACCCACGGATGTGATGCCAGTGTCGCCAGTGCCGCCGCAGTCGGAGGCATTAATTGCACAAATTGTGGCATTCCAGTAGCAGCTGCATCCGCCATCATACATTGAAGGGCACTGCGTTTCGTTCCAGTTACCACAAATGGCTGCGTCTGCTGGCATTTGCGCAAGCACTGCAATCGCGACTGCCCGCCATCGAAGGTGCTCCATCGGGTCGGCTGTCCGATTCCGATCGAGTGGGGACTAGGACAACCTTCGTTGCCTCAGCCAGGAAAGGTGCCTCCCTGCAATTGCTGCCATGCACTTTTACCATGCAGAATCTATCGACGAAGGCTTCTTGATTTGGAGGAGGGAGGGAGGGAGGGAGGGAGGGGGAGGGAGGGAGGGAGAGGGAGGGAGGGAGGGAGGGAGGGAGAGAGAGAGAGAGAGAGAGAGAGAGAGGGAGAGAGAGAGAGAGAGAGAGAGAGACAGAGAGAGAGACAGAAAAAAAGAATGCATCCCCCGGCAAGGGAATGGGCACCCGCAACTGGCACCCGCGTTGTCTCCGCCCTCGAAGGGTTAAGACACAAGCGGGGCACGGAGCTCCGAAAATGTCACGGCTCCGTGCAGGGCAGGCAGGCACGCAAGCAGTAGACTCGAGTTTAGAGATGAACCCCGAAGTGGCATCCCGGCAAGCCATATTTTCCCGGGTCGCAAGGGTCCACCAAGCTCCGTTGACTCACACAGGTGACCATGCGCACTTGACGATATGCGGGCCATGGATCATTTCCTCTGCCCTGCTGCGAATTGTGTGGGCCCACCGACATTAAATCGGACGGCCTGGTCCTCTCAGCAGTAGGCTACCATTGCACATCTGCGTATGCAAAGGTACCAGATGTATCATCGGTAAGAGAGAAGTGACAGAGCAGTAAACAAAGAACCGAGTGTTGCACGACAAGTATACTTGCATCGTGGAGACATCTGACTCCGTTGTTGTACTATGTCGCACTTATCCCTCCTATGAGCGGACGAGGCAACGCTGAGTGCACAGGGCGAGGGGGAAGGAGGCCCCAGAGACGCTGCGAGGTAGCGCCCTGTGCACAAAACAACGGTCCATGGTGCCAAACGAAGGCTGCGTCCGCTATGCAACCCGAAGGCCGTTCACTTCCGATACATCCTACGGTTCAATACTCCGGCTCCCAAGCCCCAGAAATGAGCTCGAAGGCTGCCTAGCCCCGTAGTCTACAAGGGTGCTAACCACGAAAAGGTTGCACTGCAGCAGCCGCTGGCCTAAATGCCCGGAACCGACTAGAAATAGACGCCACAGGCGCAGGAGCAAACATCGCTGTACATGCCGAAGTCCACCTCATATTTGGGTCCTTGGACCGTTATGGTTTCTAGACATATCGAAATGGAACGTGCTTACTGCTTTTGAAAGTTCGACACGCACACAACCCCGAGCAAGCTCTGCCAGGGATTTGCGAGTTGGCGGACGTGGCATTGGCATTAAATACTGCATCGAGCATTCACTATTGAAGACTTCCGCTGTGGTAGCACTGAGAGACTGAGCGCGTAACATGATGCTATATAGCCTATGTCAACCCCCTCCCTTGCCGTAAATGACCGATGCAATGTGTCCGCAACAGCCATGGAATGACGAGTCTTGGAGGCTCTGGCAAAAGGAGAGTCTCGAAAGCAGCCGCCATAGCGACTCATAAGAGTCAGGGTTCAGCAACTTCTCAGACTTAAGACGCCCGCGAGCAAGCGAACATCTCTTGTAGGTCTTATTCTTAAACCACCCATAGCCTGAACCCTAAACAATCTGATCCGGTCAGGATGTGCAAGGGCCTCGCTGTTGCCAGAGGCACCTCCACATCAGGAAGGCAAAAAGAAAAGCCGCCCCTATCCACAGCAGCAGGGACGAAGTCTCGCTACCCCGATAAGCAACAGACGAGGTAATGGTACCCAGCGAAAAGAGAATCCAAATCGCGAGGCCAATTCCCACGGTCTGCAGTACTGCAACGGGCCTGCATGACCAGTCTCTTGCCCATCGATCACAAGCATAGAGACCAACACCAATGACAGCGGGATAAAAAGCCAGGCTGACAGCTAAAAGGGCTGAAGAAAAGTAGGCCCAAACTGCTTCAACAGGAGAGCCAGCACGCAACAGGGAGATCCATCGATCCAAATGCGCGTTCAGCATCGGCGTGGCCAGTAAGCAAACATATCCAAAAGGCATGCCTCCTGGAGTCTTGACGGAGTCATGTACCACCTTCCGGAATGAGCTTCGCACAAACTCCGAAAAAGCCTCCTCACTGCCATACCACCGAACTATAGCTTCCCGGATAGTGTCTCGATCGGATTCATTGGCACAGGCCAAAGTCTCAAACTGGAAGTTGCCCACGTTGGTTAAGAGAACTTGCTTGTACGTGCAGATATGCCTTAAGGCATGTACTAATGGAAATAAGGAGCCACCGAAGCAAGCTAACGCAATCCATATCCATATGGTTCGGCCGAGTGCGCTCGTCCTGATAGCGACGAAAAACCAGGAAGCAATGTGTAGGTACACGAAAAGCAAGCACACAATGACTTCCACGAAGACGGGTGCGATGGTGACTTTTCCAGAAGGGTTCAGCTTCTGGTATGCCGCTAGCTCGAACCTATACTGAACTTTGACCCCTAGCAAAAATTATTGTGGCAGCTGCTTCTTAGGGATTAGAGTAACCAAAGTTAAAAGTTATTTCTAAGTGCCCCTGAGGAACACGCACCACAATCTCGTCAGGTACGGCTCGCTCCACAAGACGTGCAACTCCTCAGCTGCCTGGAGGAAGCCGCCAATGCTGCGGATTCCTGGGCTCTTGCTAAAGGATTTTATTTAAGTTACTATAATAGGGATCTATCGTAAATACTGCAGTGGTTTCCTTATTATGGTAACTCAATGAAATCCCTTAACAAGAACCCAGATTCCTGCTTGCATCCTGGCCTGGTCTGTCTGATCGATACATGCGCAATCCAGAAAACATCTGCGGTCCTTGCCGCAGATGTAAGGGAACAGCAGCAATCCCCCGGTTGACGAGAAGACGCCTGCCACGTTAGCCCAGAAGCTCATGGATATGACCTCGCCCTCAAGGAATTCCCATTCATACATCAACGGCAACACCCCTAGCAGGACTCCAACGCATGCCAGCGCTGTACCGATCGCCCACGCAGCCAGCATGTAAGGCCAGCCATTGCGGACAAGAAGCGACAGGAACTTCCACCGTCCAGGAGTAAGCCAGGAGTGTGAAAAGAACACATCCAGACTTTGAACTTGCTCGGAGGTAGCGAAATTGACGGCGAGCTGCTCATGCGTCAGGGTGGTTGGGTTGCGCCGCCAGAGGCCACCTCCACCCTGCAACGTCTTGCGAAGGAATACGCCCCGTAACAAGCTCAGAGAGCTGGCAGTGTATGTAAGATCTACGGCTTTCTTGGGCACTGTGTCCACGCACGTGATCTCGGTGCTTGAGATTGCAGCTGCGCTTGAGGTCGCAGGGGGTTGCGTCGTAGCAACTGAGAGCCCGTTGATACAAGCTTGAATGTCTTCGACAGCTTGCTTTTCATCATTGGCGCAGCAGCTGCTAGACGCATGTCCCATGAGGAACGGCTGCCAGTTCTAACTTTCTTGTCCAACTTGGGAAGAGTAGCAAAACCGATGTCGAGGTGCTAATCCAACCTGCGTACCTAATCACTGCATGCTAGCCGGGCCGGCATCAATCAATGCGTGGTGCCTCGGTTATCGGAATCCGATCTAGCCTCAAGCAAAAACTCGCAGCTGCGGCTTCGCAGGTGACGGCTGCCCGTTCCATTAGTTGTAAGCCTCGCAGGGGCACCTGGTGGTGGGTGCATGCGGGGCCGGGGCATCGATTGTCAGTATTTCTGAAACCGTCTCAGCCTTGAACGGCCACTGCAACCCTGCAAGCCGAAGGACTACTGACAATGAGCACCGTAATCCTGGGCTTCTTGTCACTCTTTCTAGTACTATACCCCCATTAGAACCATAACAAAAACGCTATCTTTAATGTTCTCCTGGGTATTACTAATTATATGGACAGAATACACCTATAAGGAGGCGATAGAGCAGCAGTAGTAGTAGTAGTAGTAGTAGCAGCAGCAGTAATAAGAGTAAAGTAGCAATAGTAGCAAGGAATCGGTAGGAGCCCCGGAGGATGCCGGGCCGCCACACCCTCAACGACTGAGCCTCTCCGAGGTCGGCATTTTTGGGGACGCGGAGGCCGCCGGGATCCGCAGGGTCGGGTGTAGGACGTTTTTTGGGTGGTTTACGCTGGGTTTAGGGTTGGGGTTAGTGTTTTGGGGTTTCGGCGCTCAGGGTTCTTGGCATGGCAGCTAGGTTACTTTGCGTCCTGCATTGGAATTCAGGTTTCAAGGTGAGTTTCCAAACGCCACGTTGAGCACGACTTAGCCCCATAGACCGGACAAAAGCATCATCATGACAATTGACTTCGCTCCTGATAATCAGACTCAGCTGCAGCTATGCTTTCCGGGCTTAGGCTGTAGATGCGTCGCCCACATGTGGATTTCGGGTTTTCAGGGTTTGAATGTCCGGGTGAGTGCCCCCAAGCAGTGGAGTGTCGTGGCAAACTTGCAGTGCCACCCACCAAGAATTGAGCCCGAAATCCTGAAACACGCAAATCCGAATCATCCAACCATATCCAACCTTACTTCAAAATTCTCACGACTGACTCTTGAGCCGCAAGGGCATCAAAACCCGCTACACTCCTGCGAGGCATTCGGGACGGGCTCGAAGCGCAGATCACCATCCTCCGTCGGGACCTGCATTCAGAATTCAGTTTATTCAGTGCAAGGTCCCGACGGAGCGGTACGACGGAAAGCTCATGGCTCCGTCTATTGCAGGACGACGACACTCCTAGCAGGGTTTGAGCTGGGCCATGTCAGCTATCTTCGTTCTCCTCTTTGAGGCATTGGAGTTTGAGCTCGCGGACATTGAACACCAAGGCCAGGGATCCCGGCCCAGCGGTAGGAGAACAGGAATCTCCGTGCAAAGTCGTCCAGACGCTTGGCACTGGCACAGCCGGGGGAGGTGTGTCTTTGGCTCTTCTTTCGGCCAAAGGGAAATGTTTCATCCAGGGCTCGGGGCTGGGGGTTTCAGAGCTGAGCATGAGGTTCAGCGTCACGGCCCTGCTGAAAAGCGAGCCGGGCGCGCCCGGCTGTCAGACTACATGAAACTTCTGCTGAATCAATGCAATCATGTGCATGCTACAGCCTCTCTGGGGTTCTGGACACCGAAGCCAATTGGTAGGAATCTGCTGTTTGACATGACGAAACCTGCACATTCCTAGCTAGAGCGAGTGTCATGATATAATAACAAAGAGCCCCTTTTTAAGGTACTCCCCCGCGTGCAGAGACCACATTAACAACAAAAGAAGAGCCTCACACGGCCCCGAAAAAAAGGGGCGTGTGGCTCATTCCGCCCGACCCGAGGGCTCGACTCGCGGCCGCTTTGGGACCTGGACTTCCAAAGAGAGAACCTAAACCCTAGAGGGCTTGAGGCCAAGTGGAGGCTTGAAGTCGGTAATTTTGAGAAGTTCAGGCACCAGAAGTTCATGGCAGCTGGCCTTTGAGGGCTTACTGGGCATCCGATGGACGTTACGCTTCTCTCCCCACGGCAAGGCCTTCGGGCCCGTGTTTGGCATGCTCAGAGTTGACAGGTTTCAGGCTGTCTGACTAGTTCGCTGGAAAGCGCTTCAGAGATGGTCTACTGATCGGGAGGCACTACAAGCCGCCCCTACTCGGCTTGCAATAGACTTTAGACAACAGTACAAGCCAACATGCTTACCATTAAGCTCGATCTCGGCTGAGGAGGGAGATCCTGTTGGCCAGTTGGAACTCTGGAGTACGGAAGCTCTCCCAAAAGACTTGCACTCTCGGGGTTGGGGATGAGGGGTCGTATCCAAACCCTGCAGGTCCCAAATCTGCAAACCAAGGTGCTCCGTCACCATGAACTTTTTGCTCGTGCAGAGGTACCAGTCTTGCGTTGCATCTGGGTCATGCCTTGGCACAATCAGGCTGCCCGCGTTTTTCGCTCCATTCTGCTCTGGAAAAAACGAATCCCCAAGGCCCAGGGCATGTCACTGATGCGGTCGATGAAGCCAAGCATTCGGATGTTGCTGGGTGGTACCTTCCAATTTCAAGCTCACCGTACGGCACGGCGGGGACTTGCATGTGTACATCACGTGCTGTAACAGGCTAGCTGGGTCTTGGACGAAACGGGACCACATGGGAGTTTCAGAAACTAGCGACCCGGATATAAAGCCCTCAAAGGCATGTAAATGGTACGGTCTTCGGTGTGTAAGTAAGGCACCCTTTTTATTCTGCGACCTCCGCAGGTAATGCACGGAGCCAGCGAGGCTTACTTGATGCACTCAATCGGTGCCCCAGGCCCAGCTGCAAGATGCTACGCACCTTGTCCACTCAAGAACTGCTCTTAGAAAAAACCGAATTACGATGTACTGCTGTACTATCTCATCTGAAGAAGCGACTAACCTGTTCCGATATAACTTGACAGCCATGCGAGAAAATGAGCCACGGGGTGGCACCGACTGCTGGTAGTTCATTTCCTCGAAGAGCCGGAAGGAGGCCGGCATGTGATCCGCGCCGAAACTCGGATGGCACGGACGCAGGGCTTCTGAAGGCTTGAAAGTTGAGTTCCCGGCCCAAGTAAGACTTTTCAGCGTCCCAAGCCACAAACAACCTCCTTCCCGAGATCGAAAGCAAATGCGCCGTGTCAAGAAGGGATTAGGCTTTTCTGATCAGAAACACCCAGGGACCCAGCCCCACAACCATGCAAAAGGCTCAGGCCCCCAGCCCCCATCTTAGAAACAGCACCAGACCAGCTCTGGGCCACCCGACTCCTTGAATCGCTCGTTCTTGCGCAGGGACAGCGTGGGAGTGCGCTTGTGCCCTTTGGTCCTGGCCGTCCCAGTTCCTAGCTGCAAACCTCTCTGCGCGCATGCGTCACGCAAGCCTTCAGAAGGCTCCTAGGACACTTGGAGCGCGGGGCATGAATGATACTGGTCGTGCGACCCTCCCCGTCGCCCAAAGGCACGAGCTACCGGGACCGCCTTGCAATCCTCAACACCCCGGCACCGTAACCTGCAACTTCAAAACCCAGAAGCTGACTCTGAGGTCCCGATCCGAATAGATGGGCTCGAGCTTGAGGGGTTCATGGACTTGGAGCTTGGAGTGCCGATGGATTTCGGGCTTCCGTTCCCTAACATGGTGCTTGGGGGCCTTCGGTGTCAGGGTGGTATTCGTTCATGTTGGGTTTTTGCGGCTTTTTGCTTTCGGCTTTTTCTGGCGGTCCCCATGCCCTCGGGGATTTTGGGGGTCCTCCGCTCTCGGTAGGGCCCATGATTCATCTCGAACCTGGGCAGCTCGGGACCGAGTGCTGGCAGCATCTTGCACTTAGAAACCTAGACCTCGACTGCTTCGGTGCAAAAAGCGTCCCAAAGCAAATGCAGTGCCGCAGATCCTCACTCAAGGCCGCCTTATCAAATGCAGGTCATGATGAAAGTCTGAAGGAAAAGAAGCGTACTGCCATGGTTGCCCAACGGCTGTCGTCTCGTCCTCCTACGGAAGTTTGAACTTCTTCCCCGGCTCTGGCTTTAAATATTAAGTTTCAGGTCAAGGCTTTTGAGGTTGGGTATTCGAACTAGTCGAGCTTGCAATATTCCTCCGAGGGCCATGCTGAAGGTCGTACGTGCCATCATAATTCGCCGCAGCTACCTCAGGAGGAGGTAGTTGTCTCAGTCTTTCTTGTTCTGCTGTCTGGTGCCTGAAGCCGCGCAAGCCCTGCAAGGAAAGGGGTCCGAGCTGCAGCCTGGAAGTAGATGCCCCCCTGCCCTCATCTTTCAGACCGAGCCCTGAATCCTGTTGGCCCAATGAACTTTTATCCGAAGTACTTCTACCATGATCATTAAAGTCGTTCTGCCTCTTTTCCCACTCAACTCCGTGAGTCTAAGGTGAGGCATAACAGGCCCGCCACCGAAACCAAGAGCACCGAGGGAACGATTGTTGTCCATCGTCTTGCCGCCACGTGAGCCGTAACAGCTGATACTTGGAGCCCTCAACTTCCAAGTCTCGATTCCTCGGCGTGTTCACACGTAAAGCTGAAAGCCTGAAGACTCTCCAACCCTCCTGGAGCAACAAGTGATCCCCGAGCAGTCAGGTGCCGGACGATCGCTGGCTTCCACATGCCTCACCGACGGGAAGGATGGCGTGATGAAGCCAAGACCGGCAATGTGCCTCCCGAAGATCCCACCTCTCCTGCCTGGAGGGAACAAGATGGCTCTAAACTCTGGATCTCCCACTCTTCCGCGAAACCATCCTAACCCAGACCCCAAAAGCATGAAACCAACAGGGGATCGTCTCACCTAGGACTGCTTCCATGCATGCCAGAAATTCTCAACTTCATGTCGTTGAAACCAGGAACCTCTCCCGGAAGCAAACAAAGGTCAAGGCTGCAGTTCCCAAGCAAAGGCCAGCCCGGAAACCCCGAAACGAGGCGAGGCACTGGGAATCCAGGTGTCTTTGAAGAAGCCTTGGAGCCAAAGGCAA